ACCCCCCCCCCCCTTCAGTTTCTGAAAAATATATCACACCAATATTCCCCTCTTGAAATTAGAATTTTGACTAGCTAAATCAAATTTCTAAACTGTACCAAAGGGCACTATTTGCTCTCCAAAACACCAAAAAATTTTCGGGGCCCTTGAGCAGCCCCCGAACCCCACGCCAAGGGGGTGATGGTCAGCTTCACATCTGAGGCCTGTCGTTCTGGATCCCCCCTTCAAATAATCTTGGATCTGCCCCTGCAGAGGACTAAAAAAATTGAGTGCAGGTAAATTTTCTACTGTAAAGGCAAGCAGAAAGATGACTGAATTCAGTATTATCCATCATAATTTTTAAATTCTTTCAAGGGCTAGTAGACAAGACGCATTCAATGTTTTCAACTATAAACACATCTCTTTCATTAAAATTGGAAGGGTGTAGTTGGGTAAATATTACACTATTGCCATATACCAGTCTACAAAAATAAATTTCTTATAATATTATTTTTCATTTTGCATGTCCAATTGTTACTGTATTTTGTGCGTGCGTGTGCGTGTGCTTTAGGGGTGCGGGGTTTGAATCTATCAGTGCAGAGATCTATGGGTACATCAGACTAAAATAATGCTTGGTTCAATGGTTGACCCCCTTGAGCTCACTGTTATATATACACAATTCATTCACAGTAAACTGATTGTTACCAAGTCCATTCTAAGTGCACTTGATCACATCACACCCACGGTTATCATCTTAGCTTGTTCACAGATAAGATAAATAAATTCCACAGAAAATTTCAAATCAACTGATTGACTTAAATTACAATTAATTGACTTAATTTGAAAAAAAGAAAAAATATAAATGCAAGCAAGAGAAGCATTGATCATGATAAAAGAAGACTAATACCCATGACACTTAGTTTTATGAATGCCAGCGTCATGACAGACATTTTTTATTTGGTTGTTGCAGATAAACTTGGGTATCTTAACCAATCAAAAGTTTTGTAGATTAAAAGTTTGAAGGCACAGTTTGTGGGATTCAAGACAGAAAAAAGCTGCTGAAAAACAATTTGATGATTTTTTAGAGTACTGTTAACTTTAAACAATCAGTTCACCCTTTAACCTGACATCCCAAAATACTGCTAGGTATTACATTTTATGAATACCCTTCATATTTTAACTCTTTGCTACATCCAAGTTCAGCCAATCTCACCAGATCCACCTCCACTCTTTTCTTTACCAGGAATGACAACAAAAAAACAACTAAAACCTACGGCCACAGGGCATTTTCAATTGCAGCACCCATTTTATGGAATGAACTACCCTCACACATTCGGACTATTGATAGTGTTGAGGTTCTTAAAAAGACTTGAAAACATTCTTATTTGCACAGTACTTCAATTAAAATTTAATACTTGATAACATATATTTTCTCATTTTATCAGAAAAGGTTTATTGTTTAGACTATTACTTTTATAACAAGTATTAATCATTTTAATTGTTTTATTCACCTCAGCTTTTATTATTTATATAATTACTTGTAATTCTGATAATTTTATTTGTAAACAGCACTGAGACAGTAGTGTAGTGCGGTTTTTAAGAAATAAATATTATTATTATTATAATTATTATTTATACTAAATCTTTAACATGCTTGATTTCGAATTTAACAAAGTGGTATCACACTGAAGCTAGAAAACTAAGTTAGTATCTATTACAAAGTTTCCTGGACTCACAGACCTTATCCTACCATTTAAATAGGATAGCAATTTATTGCTCATTCATTGATAACATATCATAGTACTTACTGCACAGGTTGAAGAGTGCACACCACAGTCCAAATATATATATTATCAAAATGCAAGGCCTTTATGGTCTGTAACTGTCTCTTCAGATGTTGGTACACTGTGCTCAATCTAATATAAATTTTGTTTTGGCCATATTGCTGAAAAAAATTACCTTACTGAAACAAAATTCAGTCAAATCAGTGATTGATCAAACTCGAATATTTTTTCTTTAGACAAGTTAATTGTCTACAACTTTTACCAACAAACTGATGCCTGCATGAGTCAAGATACAAGCTCTATTTGTATACAGAAAGTTACCCATTTTCGGACAACTTGAACTGCTCCTGCAACTACATCAGATGTACTTTAAAGCATAGTAATTAATTACTGACACAAAATATGTACTCAACGAGACACATTTTGATTCAGTTTTCGCCCTACAGTTTTCAAATAAAAATAGTAAAATTATTTGAGCCAAAACATGTTGAATTTGGTGCTCAACAGGTATGAATAAAATTATTTGTCTGGTAAAGATTGTTAGTTACTGTAACACCATAATATCTTGTCACAACTCTCAACACTGTAGGGGCAATTATTTCATAATCTTCTCATAGTCACAAAATTAAAACTCTGTAGTGAAAAATGTCTGTTCTAATCAGACACGTTAATTAAAACTAATTTGGAAATCTAGTGTTTTAAATGAGTCTTTTCGTAATTGTTTTCATATGCTCAGTCAAATATATTATTTTGCAACAAGTGACTTGTTTAAAACCTGTTGATGCACAAACCATCATCTTTGGCTGCATTTGTAATCAACTAATTATAATTCAAAAGAAACCTTTTCTTCTCAGGTGCATTTGGTGATTGCAAACATCCTTTAATTGCATCTACAATTTTATTTTATCATAAAGAATATTTTGATGTACTCAGTGTTTGCATAGGAGTAAAAAACGTTATAAATTTATTCACAAAACATTATTATATCACTTGGAATAAAATTTTTAAGACAATTAAAATTTTAACAAAAAAAAACTTCAATTATGAAAATGACCTCAAATCTTACAAATACAACTATTTTATTTATTACTTTAAAAAGCCAAATAACTGTGCCAGAAATATGTATCTGAGCAAACATTTAAAAATACTATTTTTAAAATAATGAAAAAATTTAAACCTTAACAACCAGCCACATACACTGTAGGAGCACCAAATAGAAGTCTGAAATATTGCACATGGTCATACAAAAACATACATATAGGTATGTATATATGTACATATTGATTAATTGGTATAAAGCAGTTTGAGCACTGCTATAATGAAGTCTCATAATGTACTGAGCTCAAACTGGAAGTTTGACTGTCCACTTTAGATGAGGCTAAAGATTGCTTAGATCCTGACGTCAGTAGCCTGTACATGCCAGTCTGGCTCCCATTAGGAGGGGGAATATAAGTTATTTGCTCTGGTTTGGTGAGATTGTCTCTGTTGTTTGTTGTACCATCAGCATCATCATAATCATCCTTGATCGAACTGAAAAAACAGATATATTTTATGAAAATAGTGCTTGTACCAAGGTTCTTTTTATTTCAATCAATTTACGCATACAATTAAAATCTTAAGTGCATGCCTTTGGTCGCTACTGTTAAAAATGAGTCATAAAACAAGGTGCAGTTTCATACTTCATAAGTTCTTGTAACAGCTCCATATACTGTCTGTACTCCTCAACTCCAAATTCCTTGAAAGAAAGAACACATCCTTATAAATGTGATTCTGAATTGTTTTTTTTTTTACTCTGACTCAATACATAAATCATTACTGCAAATTCTCAAACATCAAAACAAAAGAAATGTCAAGTCCAGTTAAAAAAAGAATTTTTTTTCAACAAAAATATTCAAACTCACTATAGGGTCATGCCTGGCATGTTCATAAGCATGAACAAACTTGTCTATCAACTCAGGGCTGGCTAATGGGAGATTAGCAGTGAGATATTTGAGCAGGTTGTCTCCAGGTTTACGAGAAGAACAATTCTTTCCTCTGTCCTGAAGTCCCTGATCTGCAGGGAAGTAAAAAAAAAAATTTTAAATTACATATATAATTCAACACAGTGATGGAGTTTTGTTAATATTCAGTAGATGGGAATTAAAGATGTACACAGAAAAAAAAAACCCTGAATAATTACAAACCTAAAATGTGAAGGTTATCCACTGCTTTCATCCGGTAAAAAAAGTGCCAGTTACCTATAAAAGAAAAAACTCATTTTTTGGGTATCTACGAGTACATTTTCCATGTCATTGCAAATAGAAAAAAGCATTAAATATTAAAAGCAATGATAGCTTGTTTAGATCAATATCACTTCCATGAGAAAAAAGTACTAATAATAAATAAATGATACACAGACAATGATACACATACGCATAATCACTTTTTCCAGAAAAAAATCTGTGGATGGTAAACTGATATCTGATTGGAAATTCACCTGTTATAAAAGTGAACACAGTAAAATTCAAAAAATTTTTTTACATACCAGCAAAAGGTCCACATTTTTCTTCTGTTGTTCTGGTTATTAACTGAGGTCCACATTTTATATCACAGTAAATTTTAACAAATTATTTTATATATACATACCAGCAAAGGGTCCATATTTTTCTTCTGTTGTTCTGGTCATTAACAGAGGCTCATATTTTATATCACCAGTCCTCTTTAATCTCCTATTTATCTCTTGCTTTAATGCCTGCAAAAAGAGAGTTAATGACAGTGTGTGTGTGCCTGATGTGTGTGTATGTGGGCCTTATTAAACCTTTGTCAATTCAAACTTTCTCCTTTCTCATCACAAGATTTGCAAACAACACTATTACTGCCATTTGGGGCTTTGTAAAACTGGTACCTTCTCTAAAATTCATTGAACAGACATTAATTTTTTTAGTCATAATTTTATTCAATTTTTTATTTTTAAGTCACAACAGTAGATTTGAATAGTTTGAAATGTTTCTTCAATTTCAATGCAACTATCAAAACTGGTCTTTACTCTTACCTCTGGGGCATCTGCACCTATTGGGACATGTGGTTTTCGTGTTGATTTAAGTGCAAATCGTGAAATCTGCCGTTTAGCAAATATGAATATGTAAAGGAATGTCTGAAATAAAACTTATAGTTATATGCAAAGGTAAAAGTAAGATTAAATAGAAAATAGTTTTGAGTTTCGGATTAAAGGTGTTACCTTAATTCAACACAATTCTTTTATATTTGTAATTTTGAGAGTCCTCCATCAATAGTAATAAAGAAATAATATAATAACAAAATAACAATTACAAAAAGGAAAAAAATTAATAAACAAAATAATGTACAGAAAAGAAGGCAAGAATAACAAAGTTTTATTTTGTTAACTTTTACATTTAATCATGATAAACTTAGAAGACAACATAAAAGTAAAAAAAATGTGAACAGTCATATATTAAACATATTTTATATTATAATCATTTGAAGAATGGATATAACAACTTACCAATGTGCCACATGCAATGAACAGCACAATACTTATATTAGACATCTCTTCTGCCATCTTTTAATGTACACTTGGACTCCCAATCACTGAAATAAAATATAGAAACTTCTGAAATTACTTATTTTGATATATAAAAGTATCAACACTATTGAGAAGAATATACTTTTAATATCTTTTACACTTAGACAATTAGTGAAGTCCCTTGAATATTGCACTGTCCTTACTTCAATTTAAAGAAACTTACATTTAACTAGATTTGTTATCAATCAGTTAATGATGCTAAATGTATTTTATGTAAATACTAGTAAATATAAATTTACAACATTCATTTCCGATTTGTCAGGATATGCTAGAACATAATTAAAAGAATGAAAACAAGAAAATGTTGTACATAATATCAATTTAAATTTGTCTGTAAATGAAAAGAAACAGATGATTATATAATGGTACAAGACCAAATAAAATATTTGAAATCTACACACTCATATATATATATATTAGAAAATGTTTTAATATCCAATATCAAGGATGACATTGCCAATTAGTGAAAAAGTCTAAAAACATGTGGTCCAGGAGGGCCCTCTGCATCGACCTAAAAATGATAGTTTTACTTCTATATTCAAGTAATATTTTCACTGTTCACAGTCATTTTAGGTGGACTTTGAAGCGCTGACAACGCAAAAGATATCCGCTATAAGTCTTTGAAATTGCAACCAATACTAGAATTTGGTATTACTGTTCCGTCAATTTCACAAAGTCACACACGTACTTGTAACATGAAGTTAAACGCAAGGTATGAGTGCGAGAGTCTGATTTTCGAACTAGTCAATAATATTAATATCAACTTCAGATGATAAAAACGTAACGTATGGAACATCTACATACGGCATTTCACACTTCTAAGTTGTGCTATTTTACTGTACTTGCATGTGTTTTATCTGGCATCACTAAAAAGGCCTCTCGCAAAAACATCTAAACCGGTCGCGTACCTAATTACGGCAAGTAGGCATCAAGACTTTCAAATGCAATTTGCTTTTTCACAAAATTTTTACAACGATAGCAGTTTAAACATATATATATAAATATATATATTTATTTTGCCTCTTTTGGTTAACATTGGTTAAACTTAGTAAAACATAAGTGCGATTTTTGCATGTACAAATAGCGACATATCACACTACGGTACTCTCAAAACACGACATGAAGCTGTGTTTGGTGTCGTTTGTTTACAGTCGCAGTTGCTCTGCCATATAATGATAATTCAATAATTCTGAATGCATTTCACGCTGTATGTTGTAGCACTTTTGTTTTGTTCCATTCTAATATCACAATGTTGCTGCAGGAGCACATATAAAGTAAAAATTGACGAAGGTAAAATCATTGCAAACTTGTCCCATTTCTGGGAGAGCACAGGTTTCTGGTAGGTACATGTAGACCTTCAAATTGCAATTTGCTAATTAATTAAGAGGAAAATATTGTTCATATTTTACATGGTTTTCTATTGTAATATATGGAATGCATTTTTAAATCTTTGCTCTCTTTGGTTCCCTTTATTATTTGATTATGAGCTCTAAATTAAAAAAATACACGTACAATGTACCGCCTACCGCCACTCAAGGTGGCCTCAGTTTTTCGGCCTTACATATGCTACTAATACAGTCTAAAGGTTTTAAGCCTCATTCCACCTTGTGTTTCAAACCCTTGAAGCTATAAGTATCCAAGTCCTGGCAAACTGTCTCCTATGTCGCACCTTGTAGTATATAAGTTGGATTAAAAGCATTTCGATGTACTAGTTTGATAAAGTTTGTTTTTTATTTGAGCTATATACTGTAGTAAAAGAAGCTTTTCCTGCTTACCATGTAAGGTCAAAAACTGAGGCAATTAACTCAACTCATACCAACAGAGTGCATTAGACTAATTACATATATGAGTGAACATTAATTCTGTAATGATATAAAAAAATTATGACACTTAGGCTCCGTTCACATGAAAAATCTATTTTCTAAAAATCTATTTTCTATTCGCGGTATCTTGTGATCACGGTCTGTGCGAGCAAGTTACTTCCAAAGCTGTAATTAATTCTCGGCTGCGCTCGGAGTGATCACAAGATACCGCAAATAGAAAATAGATTTTTAGAAAATAGTTTTTTCATGTGAACAGAGTCTTGGTCACACTGACAGGATCTGTTCACCTTATGTTCAACAAATAAAATTCCAAGAATTTTACTGATCACCTTTAATGTCATTAAGACAAGTTATTACAATAGCTAGAACAAGTTAAATTCTATCTAATTTTACTTTAGCATGAAGATTCATATAATTAAGACCCCAATTTGTGTTTCTTATATGTGCTAACACATGAAAGATATGGATGTAAATACTATAAAAACTATAAAATGGCTTTCAGCTATATCAGATTGGCTTCATATCAGGTGCTCTCAAATATATTCTGCTTTCCTAAACTGCAGAGTTTGATTTACTAGACATGCACTTGAACACCATTTTGCAGTTATTTTTTAATATAAATTTCATGAATTAATACATTAAAGTATAGTATTAGTACATATTTAAATATTGGAGTATATAGGAGTGCTGCATGTACTGGTAACACAAGAATCTTGGTGCTTATTGTACTCCAGCCCTCCTGCTCCACACCAGGATGCAGCAGCCTTTGATCTTGGAACAGATATGCTGCATAACCTGGCATACATAGCTGCTGTACCCAATGGAGGCATTAAACAAGTCAGAGTGCATTGGCTATTGGACCTAGTTAAAGTTCAAGGGTAAAGTTTACATGATGAATGAAATGTTTTTCTTAACAGTTTTTTGTACATATGGATTTTTCAGAATATTAAGGTAAGATAGAAGTTGTGCAATCCATATTTTGCAAAAAGTGAAAACTGGAAAGCTTTACATGTAGTAAAAAGTTCACTTTCAAAGGGGGGGGGGGGAGTTAATTATTCACTAGTGCTGTTTCAGGAAAATATGGTCAGCCTATTAACAAGATAATTTATTCTGTTCAATTTTTCAGAGTTGAAGGAAGGTTTCCTGTGTATAATTTTAGTCATCTAGACCAGTTTATAGAAATGCTGATCCAGTTAGATTTACAGCCTGGGTTTGAGATTATGGGAAACCCAGGGAATTTTTTCACTGATTTTGAGAACAATACTCAGATTTATGCCTGGAGAGACATGGTTGCAGCCATTGCCAAGCGTTATGTCGGTAAGATTGCTTAAGGTGATGATAGAATGATAAACTGTGGAGGAGCTCTCTTTATGAAGAGGGGTGGAGTGGGGGGGGGGGGGAGCAGCAAATTTACATTCTTTTTGGAATGACGATTGGAACATTAAAAAATGATAAATACATGCACTAGCATTGCAGATGTTATACTTGAATTAAGGACCATGTGCTACTGGTGTGAGGTATTATGTTTGATTCTTTTTTATATTTGTTTTGTTATTTGATTTCAGACTATTATGGAGAGGAGTCTGTGTCAAAGTGGAAGTTTGAAACCTGGAATGAACCAGATTTGCATGATTTTGACAATCTTACATTCACGATGCAAGGTATACTATATATACATAATATCTTCATATATTACCTAAGGACCATTTAATGAAATCTTACACAAACAGCAAATCTTTCTGTTGCTATCATTTATCTAAAAACAAATGAAATATATATATAATTAATTACATTCTGATATATTTCAATGTGTCAAGGCTATCTGAACTACTATGATGCCTGCTCAGAAGGTTTAAAAGCTGCCTCACCTGAACTAAAGCTTGGTGCACCAGGAGGTGTTTGCAGGGAACCTGAATCCAGATATAAACTGTGCTGGGGTCTCTTCAAACATGTGGTTAGTGGGACAAACTATTTTACTGGTGAAAGAGGAGTGAGACTGGACTTTATTTCTTTTCACAAAAAGGTAGGGAAATTACTTTCTATTTGAATTGTGATAGTTTGTGTGAAAATAAAAGTCATCTTGAATATGTTTGTGAAGTTTTCTGTATATAAAAAGTATGTATATCTGAATGACGGGAGTTTCTTTTTGTTTTGCTGCTTCTGGTTATAATTTCAGAAAAGGTTATAAAAGCATTGGTTCTTTTTCTCACTTTTTGTTAATATTTGTTCAATTCTGTTTTGTAAAAGGGTGGCAAAAGAAAGCAACACATGGGTAAATCACAAACCATCATGGAATCGGAGCTGGACCTGATCCAGAAAATTCATACAAGAACTCCTAAGTTGAAACACATACCAATAATAAATGAGTGGGTATTGAATCTTCCCGTTCATTTTTACACTTTAAGTTGGATAAATTTGAAGCATGTCAAACACTGTGCATTACACCTTTTACAATTTATTTATTTATTTACAGTTAATTACTATAAATCACAACTTAGAAACAAATTATTGAATTTGGTCAAGACTGATCATCAAAGAAAAGATATTTTTAGCCATTGCTTTAATTATTGTAATAATAATAATAATAATTATTATTATTATCACGATTCAATCCCCACTGTACAGTGAAGCAGATCCAATGACAGGCTGGAGTGAGCCAGAGCAGTGGAGGGCAGATGCCACATATGGAGCTGTGGTAGCAAAGGTAAGGAAAGAGTGGAAGGAGTTTCTTATAATTGTTACTTATTCCAACATTATGGCCAAATTTTAAAATATTCATAAGTAATAATATTAGAAATAACAATAGATTCATTGTGGCAACTGCACATTTAACCTCATTGCCTGCTGACCAGGGATCATACAAAATACAACAGTGACCAAGTTTGACATTTACTATGAACAAATAATTTCACCTTTGTATCAGTTTGCTATTAATACAATGAATTTACACCTTTGACATAAAGGTATATCAGTGCATTTGGATCTACTTATTTATCTGCTTAGATAATGAAGAAATAAACATTGTCATGTTATGAGCTAATGCTGTCACATCAAAAATACATCAGGGTGAAATTGATATGTTGAGCTGATGACATAACAGCAGCATTTTTGTGTTGAAAATTGTGTTTTTTATTATTTCAAACAGATCTCCATCTCAACACTGTTTTGACTCCAATCACTATCTGACACTAATTTTCAAAGAATTAACGTAGATAGACAATAAACTAGGGCAGAGCTTAAAAGCAGAAGTGTATGGGGTGGTAAATAAAGCAATGAAAAGGGGAATTATTGCTCTAAAATTTTTTAATTTAATTCTGCTCATATCTAGATAAGTCCTTTGCATTAAAAGAAACAGGGGAAGTTATTTTAACCAATTTAATGTATCAGGCTACTCTTAACATGAAGAGAATTTTTTTAAATTTTATGGATTCGGAATTTCTCACTAAAAATACATTATAAATATGCCTATTTAAGACATTTTTTACTTGACAAAAGCTGAGTGAACAGTTGCATGCATTTCTCTTTGAGAGTAAATTATATTCAATGATTTCAGAATATAGGACACCCTTGAGATGTAATTTTAGTTTAACTATAAAATAATTGAATTATATTTTAATCTTTTTTTTCAGGTTATTGCTGAGCACCAAAATCTTATCCTTTCTAAGAAGAACAACAGCATCAATTATCAGCTTCTGAGCAATGACAATGGGTTTCTTAACTACTATCCTAATTACTTCACTCAGCGCACACTTCTTGCCAGGTTCCAAGTAAATAACACTCAGCCACCGCACACACAGTTCATTAGGAAGCCAGGTTACTCTGTCATGGGAATGTTGGCTTTATTAGGAGAACACCAGGTTCAGGCACAGGTTACATGTACATATAGAACCATTTTTATTGACAGTCTTTGGATCTTTCGAGTTATAGGACAATTAACCAGGAACAAAAATAGAAGACAGTTTAACATCTCTACTTAATATGTGTAACAAGTGTATTGTTCATAAATTTATTGAATCAATTATAAGTTTATAATTTGTGGAGAAATAGTAATGTGAGTTTTACCTCTGGGAAAAATCAAGTATATGATAAACATAATGTCTGAATGTTCGGAAAAGATTGTTTCTTTTTAGGTAATGGGTTACCTTTGACTGACTTCAGCAGACTTGGAGTTTTGGCATCCATTCATATCCCATATGAAGACCTTGGTCCAGACAGGTACTGTTAGATAGTACATGAAGTATTATTAGATAGGCAAGATATCAACTGCATATTAAGGTATTTTTATGTGAAAATTCCCCTTTCAGACATTTTAGATATTGGACTTACCAACTGAACCCTGTCATGCATTTTTTTGTTTGTTGTTATATATTTGAATCCTGGATTTGTTCTTTCCAATGTCATTAGACATAGATAGTAGAAAATTAAGCATGTAATTATTTGTGTTTGTTTCAGTTGGCAGTTTTCTGCTTTGGTATATAACAGCAATGACACTTCCAATGCTACTGGATTTGACCTTTTGGAGATTCATTTTGGTGATTTGAAACCTCCCTCTTCTACAGGTATATGCAGTTTCAAACTGATTCATCAAAAATTCCATTCAAAAAATGTTAAAGACATTTATGTAGTTCTGCTGTGGTATTTTACTGATTTCCTAAATTTTTTTCAATATCATAATACGACATTCCTATTGTACATGTATATTGTCAAGTAAACTTCAGTTAAGTTAAATATAACAGATGAAACACAATTGCTCCTGATTAATTATTACATTTATGTATGATTATCAAACTTTTTTACATTTTCTGCAGATCTTATGTGGGTGCAATACATACTAGACAATAGCCATGGTAATCCCAGCAGTATATGGGAAAAGCAAGGCAAACCAATCTTCCCTTCAGTGAAACAGTTCAAAGACATGAGGGACAATGAAGTCAGTGCTGCTTGCAATTTCTTTTCCAGAAATTTCCAGTCTTAGTTTGATGAAGTCCATTATCTTTAAGCTGATTTTTCTTTAATGTCCATAAACATATTGTTTATAAATTTCATATTCAGATACATTTATTTAATATTATTGTTTATTTCAACATAGAACTGCTGTCATATTGGTAAAGCAGTATTCTTTAGGTTTTTCTCAGATATTGGTCCCACATGGCCTTACTTGATTTTCATCTAGACTTAATTTTGTCATTGTAAATGTTAGTAATATTTGTAGGGTCCTGTAAGAGTCTCCCATCCAGCTGCCTATAATACAACACAATCTGCATTCAAGTGGAAGTTACCATTGCCTGGGGTGGTGCTCTTTCATATATGTGCCAAGCCAAAAATGCCACCTAATCAGGTAAATAGTACATATATTTCATACATTGACAAGTAAGATTCTCTGTTGCAGTATGCCAGTAATGAGACTAAATGCGTGCATGTTAAGTGGATAATATTTTATAATATCTGCTAGTTCAACATGAAAAGTGGTGTATACTTGTGCTGTACTTTGCAGCTGGCATTTAAACAACAAAACTATATAATGCCGAAATTTTAAAAATAAATTTATTCTCTTAATGAATACATTTTGTTTTTCAGGTCACCAATGTAATAGTTACAAACATAACTTCTAATCAAGTCTTGGTGACATGGAGTGATTCCTGTGTGCACTCCAGGTAGTGTTTTTACACAAGCCCTTCTCTTAGACAAAACCTGCGGATATATTTTTTTAAAAACTGTTACTTATGTTATTCACAAGAAACAAATTACCACAATCTGAGGAGAGGTTACATTTTTTCTACTGTATTATGAACACTAAGGCAGTAGCAGTTTGTGTGCAAAATTAAGAATATTTGAATTTGGCTACCTGGTAGAATGGCAAAACTTCTAGTTCCTCAAAATGTACAGAAAAATAAAAAAATTTAAAGATATGGGAATTAAGATGCCTCTTTTCATCTGTAAAATGTTTTCTCTGTTTGCAGATGCCTTTTAACATATGAAGTAGAATTGTCCACACATTCTTCGGGGACACTGGTTTATCATAGGATAAATCCATCAGACACGATATTTACAATGTTTGTGTTTGCTCCAGATGAGTCAGGTATGACTAACTGTTCTTTCTTTTTGTGCAGGTTTATAGATTAGTATTGAAGAACATCTGTTTCATGCTTCAATCAACTTATAAAAACAAAAAGGGCAACAGATTTGGTGGTTTTATGCAAGCTGTGTACATATTGTATTACTGTCAAACAGGTGGACTCATTTGATATGCAGAAAAAACATTTGAGATACCAGGAATTGACTTCACAGCATATATTATTCAAATTATTTTTTACTTTGATGAAATGAACATAAAATTGAATTTCATGGAAATTATAGATTTATTATTGTCTTATTCATTGTGTCAAATCATATCATTATAGATATATACACTGATAATAATTGTATTGATAAAATTTTTGATGTACGTGTATAATGAATTATCACCTCTTCTCATCATTCATCAGTGATATTTAAAGAATGCTTAGCATTGTATAAATAAGTCAATATATTTTAATGTTTTGATTCAGATTCCTCAGTCTTTGGCTTATACAGAGTGCGAGCTGTGGACTTTTGGGGGAGATTTGGACAGTACTCATTGCCTGCACAGTACCCTCAGAAAAACATTGAGAAGTACAGCACCAAGCAACACTGCAGCAGAGGAAGACTGAAAAGATCCCATAGATATCCTGGAAGTTAAGATGAACTTTTGCATTACAATATAATCTATGCCTATCCTACGTTCTGTAAGGATGTCATCTTTAATGTATGATCTACAAATGATAGCACGTACTCAAGGAATTACTTTACCCAAATATACAAGGAAGCAATTAATATAGACAAAAGTAAAGAACGTTCAAATTGGGTTTTGGATTTTTGCTAGTTAACACTTTATTTTCATGGATAATATCTCTTTGGCAAGACATGCCTAGCTGTGCTCTTAAAAATTAATGAGAGTATAACTGCAACAGATGGCTGTGTTATTAAATGTATAATAAATCTGGGACAACTTCATAGTCTGCAGTTCATTATGAGTTTCTCATCAACTGGTTTCAAGAACTTAGCACAGATTAGGTACAGTATGAAATGTCATTTATTGAAATTATATAATGTTGCAAAAGTTTCAAACAATATGCATGTACAGTGTATATATATATATACTGTACGTATAATTGGTAATTGAAATATTTTTAATATATATATATATATATAGGCACTTTTTTGTACATGTGCAAGTTATGTAATTGCTTTTACAGAAATGCATAAGGTGTAATAACATGAGTATCATATGCAGAAAGGGGTCATGTGAATGTCTTCATCTGTGTTTTGTTAGGTTTTTATAAAATATATAGTTAAATACATGTATGTCAATTTATTGATCAAAATTAATGTTCAATGTGCACCTATTTCCTGTTGGGTTCAAAGGTTTTGTTTTTATATGTAGGACTGGTGCTCTAAAAGTTCAGGTTAAAAAAATGGACTTTTTTGATAGTGAGTTGTGTGAAACATTTTAAGAATAAATAATTAATTTACATTCTGTTCTATTAGATCAAATTTTGTAACATGTACGTGAAGCAAGGGAATAGATAATTGTCAATAATAAACTTGAATTATTATTTTTCCTACATGAGATGACTTGTGAATTTAATTATTATGCATTTTATTTACTCATTTGATTTTAATTTGCTGTTTAACTAAATTAAAATGAACTAATTATAAAAAAAACACTGGTCTAAAATAAATTTTGGTAATTTTTTTTAATTAGAAAAATTTGTTTGAAACAAAAATATTTCATAAATAAAGAATATCCTTATTGTTTTGAATATATCTAACAGATATACAGAATGAAGTTGAAAATGCATTAGTGATGCATCCTTGGGCCAAGTTGTAATTGCAGTCAGTTGAAGCTGCACTTGGTCTTGCAGATGGCGCACTTGACTTCCGGTCCAGTTTCACGTAACTGGAGCGTGGGTACGTAAATAAACAAAAGTTTTATCAACTTAATTGCTCTCTTTTTAATGTATATGGATTGTTTACATATGTCTTTTTATCTGTTTAGCCAGGCAGTTTTATGAAGATCAACGACTTCTCGCCAATAACTGCAATCACCTGAGACAAATTGGAAAATAATTTGCCTCTATTACCGATTCGATTGAATTTGTCGTTACGGAGCGGTGCGAAAGAAGAAAGATAACTATAGTTTACTGCAGTTTCTTATCGTTATCCAAATTCTAAGGCATGAATAATGGAACGTGTAAAACCCGAACGCCGAGATTTGCATCCAGAGCTTCCGTGGAGAGAAAGCAGCTGGGCCAAAAATTTAAATGTAGAGAGCGAGATTTTAGGAACAATGTATTCCAAACAAGACATCAACCCAGGCGTAGCCATTCGAAAAATTGCCTTGCTTTTCGAGAATCGTAAGTTTGATGAATGTGCTCTGCTGATCAGACGACTGAACTCTTTAACCCTCAAAACAATTATTTCTGAGTTACCAGTAGATATATTGGTAGACGCCATTCCGCATAGTCTGGGAATTTTGGATGTTCTTTTCACTAAGTTTTACGATGATGATGGAGATGATTTTCCAACTTTTTTCCTGCAGTTGGATCAGGTTGTGAAGCAGATAGTTCACTGGCTGGCCAGCCTTGAAGATCCAGCCTTACGACCAAAACTTCCCCCTCAAGATCTTTACATGCCGCATGTCAGAAACATTATATCTGTCATAGTTCAGATTGACAGTAAGATGCACAAGAAGTTAAAGAAACAAATGGAAACTTTGCAAAATACTTTGGAAAGCATTGGTCAGCATGGTTTGGTGGATACATCAGACAACAAACTAATGCATCTGCATGATGCACTAAAAATTGAGTTTGAAAAAATGTCCCATCAATATCGCTCTGCTGTGATGAAGTTGGAAGAGCTCAGTCTTGTACATCACACTACTTTGTCCCGGAGCCTGACAAAAGCTGCTCCAACAGATGCCAGTCACCAAAGGCTTATGCAGCTTAATCAAACTCATATACAGGACAGGTTAATCAAAAATAAAAGTTTGTTCAATGTAATTGAGCCTGCAGTAACAAATCAAACGCTTTTAAAACTTTTACAGACATTAGAGGAAAGAATTGAGAATGACAAAGATGTGTTGTTTTATTTCTCAGAATTGAGAAAAGATATGAAGACAATACCCCAAAATGCTGTGATTGCCACAATATTTCAGCGTTACTCTGTGGCCTATGGAAAAGTGATAGCTTTCATGGAAGAGTTTGGGCTTGATGAAAAAGATGGAGACAGTGATTCAGACTCCCCTGCAGAGGAGGGAGTGAATGGTTTCCGTTACAGAACCAGACCAAGAAATACGGGTTTGTTTGCTTTTCTATACTTGTTTGTTTATATTTAATAAACTGGTAAATAGAAATGAACTGACTTGAACTGGGATGTTTTGTTGAGGAAAGTATTGTTAGAAAAGTTTTGGGTTTAATTCATGCCATGTGTGGTAGTGTTTTTCATATTTTTTTCATCTAATTTTTTCCAAGAAGCCGATTTTGACAGTTTTGTGGCTTTTTGAACCACATTTAGTCTTACTGTATACAAATCATGATATTCTGACAATCAGTTGTAGGAGCATTGTTTGAATTTAGTCTTAAGTTTATGTATTCAAGATGAATCAACATCTTTCATGAGATATCATATTTTTATTCAAGACAGAAAGTTCTCAATATTTTCACATCTTCAAGCCCAATAATTTTTACTTTCATGCCTAGGGACACATTTTGCAGATTTTTTTTTCTAATGTGCATTTCTCTTAAATGCTTTATTGCCTGTAGATATTAATTGAGTGTGAAGAGACTTGATGAAATGAATGACTCCTCCAGTCAACCATTGATTTCTCTTATTGCTGCTTAATGGCTCATGGTTGTCATAATTATTTCATCAATAACCTCTTTTCAGCCACCTTATATTGACCCTTCCTGTTGTTGTAAAATATTGAGTGCCTCAAACTTACATACATACTATGGACAAGTAAGGCCAATTGCACTAGGCATTTACTCTGTTGTTCCCAAGTGTTGTGTATGTACATAAATATATGGTCCTTTCTATATTAGCAAACATGAAGGTATTATGAAGTATATGGTCTTCCCGTTTTATTAGCAAACATAAAGTACTAAGAAATATATTATGTTCTTTCCTTTAATAGCAAACATGAAGTATTAGGGCCAGAATACAATGCTCTACGTACTTAATTTTTTCTTGAAAATCTGTTGTTAACAGAACTTCTCTGTGGGTGGTCAGGGACTACTCTTAATGATTTGTGTCTTGGTTGGTGGTGTGTTTACAAATGTTCTTATCTGTTGAATTAAGGATTTGAAAAAAAAAACTCTCCTAAGTCTCCTTTAGTATCTTTCTTCTTACTGCTCACCTACTCTCTAGGAGCTATTGAAGAAGCTGCATTGGGATTTAGTATATTTGTTTTGATTTTTTTACTGTAGCTGAAAACCAAATGTGAACATAACTGCAGAGAAAAAATTATCAGTGATTTGTGAAAACCCTGATACTGCCATGCTTTGATTGACCAAAAAGCTTGTGGTAGAATATTTCTAAAAAGTTAAGAATCTCTATCAAAAACATATGTTGTAATTTAGTGCTCAAAGGGAGAAAATCTTGATATCATGTATTATTCTTATCTCAGAGAGTGATTAGGATGTAGAATCAGATTATTATAAATGTTTTAACAGTATCGCTTAAGTGTGCCATTATTGACCAAAATAACATATTTTGACTCTGGTGACCCAAGACCTGGAATCAATTAGTTAAACATGCAATTCTGTGTTGACTTTGGCACTTCAATAGTAATGAGATTTGTTATTTGATTAGTTTGCTTGATTTGTAAATTAGCAAGTCATATTACATAACAATACAGAAGAATTATTTTGTGTTTCTGGTGGGCTTTTGCTGCAAGAGTTACGTATCCTGTTTAGTGGGCATTCAAAAGACCTAAACTTAATTGACTGAAAGTAGTATTTATTGAGGAAGGAAATTTGAAGTTGTAAACACTTTTGTCACGGAAATCCTACATCATCCCTTTACATTTACAACAAGTGAACTTTATTTTTGTGATTAGGATAACTAAGTGGGTGGAGTAACTATCACAAATGATTTCTGTTTTATTTATCAAATGGCATATTGTATTTTATCAGTGGAATTGTTTTGATTACAACTGATTTATTTTGTTTTTCTAACACTTGAGAAGTTAATTTCAGTATATCTGTATTGTTGCTTATGACTAGAAAAGCATGAAAACCCAGATATTATTTCAGGTTTCCAGTTTTAACCAAAGCAGCCTAATTATTAATATCAGTAGGTTCAATTATCATGCCTCATTAAAAGATTTGGATAAGTAATTAAGAAACATTGCTGAACACAGCAAACACAGTGACCTTAAATGTAATTAATTAGTTTAACCTCAGTGGAGTAAATTTGGCACTGGTCTCCAACTGAGGCAGGTGATACACAGATAATGTTATCAGCAGGAAGTGCGTTTCCTCAGCTGCTTCCAGAAACAGAAGTGCCTTTTTGTCAAAGGTGCTTGTAAGCTGTTAGTTAGTCACATGACTGACCTCCTGCTTGCACCCCATGTGATTGGCATATAGGGATATTTATAAATACAGGAAGGCAATTCCACCAGCTCAGATTTGAGTTAGGAGATATATTCAGTAAGCAGTATATTATTATTATATAGTTTGTTGGCAAGAAGTATTTGGACAGATCCTCCAAGATGCTAGCTGAACTTTCCAAAAGGTTCAAGAAATTTGGTAAGAATTTTTATGCTTTCATCTCTATATGCATGCATACATTTAACCTTTGCATCATGTAACATCTTTCTTACCTGTGCATACTCCGTATTCTACAGAATTTGTTTAAACAGCAACCCATATCAGAAAAAGTCTATAATAATTATTGTATATGTGACAGGAAAGATTGTTATTCAGTATGATCAAAATGCTTTAAAACTGTACCACATCCAAATGAGAGTAAAAGGAGATAATCAAAAGTTGATTCTTCTAAGGGTATCTCTATTATACTATAGTGCAAAAATATATGCAGCAGTCATTCGTGTTTTATTAACATTGTATGTAGCAGACACAAGCTCTGTCCACTCATGTCTACAGAAGCCCATTTTTCTAAGAGTCTTACCAAATTGAGTGAAATTGGCAAAAAAAATTGTTGTATGTTATATTTAATTATCAAAGAAAATCACCAACCGTCTGGTAAAATATTAATTGCTAGCATATATAAGGAAGATGGAAAATCAGGACTTGAATGTATAACTACCAGTCTGGTATTAATGCTTATTTTAGGAGAAGTAGGAAATTTGAGACCAATGACATACGCTTAAAGATATTAAGTACTAGTAACTTTTTTCTTATATAAATATATTAAAATTTCTTCCAAGTTTTAGAGTTTTTACTCACTTGGTTTTTCTTATATTGATGTTTTTTTTTTTTATTTATTTGACAGACATGCTCTGCTTGACATATTAAAGAAGTTTTAAGCAGAGGCAACCCATAATGGAAAATTGAATGCTACTTTTTGTACAGTGACTAAGCCTAGACTGCCTACTAATCGAACATTTGTTGCTTCTTGTCAGTCAATAAAAATACTCAACAGGATATATCCTAAAATGGAAAAATACAAATGGAACTTTGAATTATCTTCTGGTCTGTTCATCTTGAATTATCCATTTTTAAAACCTTGGTATTTCTGTGTCATTAAAAATTGGTTTAAAATATTGGAAATTTTATTTATGAAATAATGGTCTTGTAAATATAGCAACTTTTTCCTTTATCAGAAGTGGACGTAAAAGCATTTAAATTGATAATGCCAGTGGTTGGTGGTTGGTCTTAAATTGATTTAAAAAAGGATCTGTTAGACGTTAGTTGTATTTCAGTGCATGTGTAACATATTTATTCCCATTCAGATTCAGTTAGTTGACCTTCTGTGTGTGTGGGATTCCAGCAACTGTTTTGCTTTTCACTTTTCATCAACAGTGAATCCTTAGTGTGCCAAAAAAGAGGGTAGGGAATACCCCTGCTTAATCACCAATCACCAAGAATTAAAACAGCTCAATCACCAATAAGGGAGATTAATTCAGGTCAATCACCAATCACCAAGAATTCCTGAATTGTGTTTCACGCAGAATATTTGCTCAAATAATGCATCACGCTCGAAAAATAAGGCCAATGACACAGAACGCAAAAGGTATTCCCTACCCTCAAGAAACAAACTTGAAGTATACTGGAAAAGTCAGTTTATAGTCAGTTCACTGTACTAGTTGAATTGTAAACAATTTGATTTCCCTTTTTTTTTTACCATTATGGTAACCACAGTCAAACGTCAGTTCCGCTGTTTTCTCTTATTTCTTATTACATCACAAAATATCCTGGTTCAGAAAACAGAATTAATCAAGTCCCATGTGACTGGCATTTTGACATTCCCCCAAGCTGACCTCATCTCTCTTTATCCCATTCAGTATAGAGTTTCACATGGTGCAGATGGCTTGATGGCATGTAGTACCAGAAAGTCATAGGATTGAACTGGGAACAGTTGGTAGCTTTTGTGTGCGTATATTGGCCAATGTCATATCCCTGTAGTGGTCAGTCTTCTTGTTGTTGTTGGCCACTGCTCTCTGGTTTGACCGTTGGAAATGAGGAACCAAGGCATGTTCAGTTGAAGTCCATGAAACCCATCAAAGTGTTTACAGTTCTAGGAGATTCTAGAGGTATGGTGTTTTTATAAAGTTTCTGCTGTTTGTGGCTGTACCAGTATGTAATTTGAAATACACAGAGCCTTCTACTAGTACATGCTTGTTCTGTTCTAAGGAACAGGCCGGGTTCCCCATTGATCTCATGCCTACTCTTTAACAGCAGGTGGGGATGTTATAATCAAACTCTTGTTATTTTGTTGATGAGTATCTCCCAGAATCTCAGCAGTCAATATTGACATATTTATTCATTAGGATATTCAAATGGCCCTTATGCTATTAGCACCATCTATTTTCTGTCCCTTGGCAACAGGAAATTCAAATTTCTACAAACATGCCACTCAGTCAAGAGTCGGCACTGGTCTTTGTTTTTAAATAGTTGCGTGTGTTACCAGAAGGTAATGTGATTAGCTGTTAGCAGTAAGACACTCCCCCTGTATTGGGAACAGTGTGTATAGTCCATTCTTGGAGTTTAGGGTGCAGATAAGAAAAAAAGGTAGTTTATTGACAATTTTCTTCGTCAGGAAAAAGGTGGGTCACTATATTCTATCTTTATGTAGGATGGATTGTGATTTTTTTTCCTTCTGGTACCAGTAACTTCCTGACATCCTGAAAACAATAAACAAGGACGTGACCTCATTGCCATGTGTTGAATTTAGAGAACCAACCCGTTCAAATGAGATAGAAGTGTTGTGGTAGCCCAGTAAAATGTCTGATGTGCTTTAGGTCAAACTGAAAGGAGGAGAAGTGTTTACTTGTAAATGTTTAATAAAATTGACAGTTGAATACTTTTTGGGATGGACACTCATGTTGTTTCCAGGGAAAGTGACAGATGTAACTGCTAAGAACTTGGTAGGTGTTACTGGCAGGATTTATAAGAGTTATTCTTCCTTTTTGGTAGGGTAAAGTTGGCACTGGAGGAATTCTGCTTAATTAAACTATATTAGGTATAATATGTTGGGTTCAAGATTAATTTCATCAACATAGCTTTAGTAGTTATTCTATTGTTTGTTTGCCAGACATGGACATTGATTGAAGTCTTGATTTTTGTAGAAAGGAGACATAAATTTGTAAAATTGTCATATACACCCTTAACGCAGTGCCAAAACACAAATATTTTGATTGGTCAAGACATTTCCAAAAACATGTCAGCATTCCTAGACTGATGAAGATTGTTGTCTTTTGTTGCGGATATGATTTATTATTTCCTCTCAAAAGAATTTGGATTCCCAATATTTTGGTACTTCCTAAAGAAGTAATTTTTATGATGATTGATGGGGCATTTGCAGTTGATATCTTTCCTTTTATTCTTTTACTATTTTCTTTTTACTGAGTTTTTTTTTTTCATAGTGTCGTTGGTGTTTTAGCATTATAAACTCTCTCTCACAAACAAAAAAACACACACACACATTATAGATGTTATAATTATAAAAAATGAGGCAGTTTTCACTGTATTAGAAATCCAAACAATCTTTGAGTTAGATTAGTCATTTACCATACACCAGCATGCACAGGCACACATGCATGCTTACACACACACACACACACACACACACACACACAAACACAAACACAAACACTGAATATAACTGGATCTAATATGATTGCATGAGTCAGTTTACAAAATCTTTGAGTCAGAGTAGCAGCCTATCATACTGTGTAGAGAAGTTGGTAACATATGGCCACCAAGATAGCATCATAAGATCTGGGTCTTGCACATCATGAGCTAAATTTAGAGCATATGGAAAAGTCTGCATTGCTCCTTGTATATGGATGCCCAGCCTGGCACTGATCTATATTCGGTTAAGCCATGATCCTGAAGACAGTAAGTAATGAAGAGTGAGTGATAGTTAGACAGGTATGGATTCACCTCCAACCATTCCCTTCAGTAAATCTTTGCTGAAATGTCAGACCATAAAGGCTGTAGCTAGCAATAGACAGTTTAAAATCCCATCCTGTAACTTAGGCTGGGAAGAGTTGGTGGTGCAGGATGTTTCCGACAGTTTTTCAGCGTCCAAGTGTTGTCTCATCTCAAAGTTCTCATGGACAAGACAGGAAGCAGTCAGGTATCAGTGAAATTATTGTTGAACTTGCTGCTTTTTCTCAAAGGACTTCTGATTTTGCATGTTTTTTCAATTTACTTTAAAGGATATTGAAAAGATATGCATGGGCAATAAAAAAAGGAAAGAAGACATCTCATCATGTTTTGGGTATGAAACAAAGGAGTAAAGTTTATTTTTAGACCTCAAGGTTAGGCAAGCCTATATGAGGTGTATGTCTGCTCCCTTTCATGTGAATTTTCTGAAAATATTGAAGTAGGTCCATATATATATATATATATATATATATATATATATATATATATATATATATATATATATATGTATGTATGTACCGGGGTAGAAATGTTTTGTGTAATAATATTGAATACCTTCTATATGGGCATTCAGCTAAATAATGACCATCAGAGGAGTTAGGCTTTAGTGAGAATAGATTCCCCCCCCCCCCCCTCCAAGGAAAAAGAAAAAGAAAAAAGAATTTCTTAAAAACAGCCCCAAAATATGACATTGAAAAATAGATTTTTAATAGAACAATTTTATTTTATCTATGGGATTGAAAAAAAATGTCGAGATAATAAGTTAATTGTGCTCTATCATATATACATGTATTATCAGATTTCTGTAGCATTAAGTTGACATTGATTTCAGGCTAAAAGCTTATACCTTGAAAGTTGTATGTATGACTAACAGATGGGGTAAAATCTAGGGTCTCCATGTAGTTTAGGTGCATGCAAAGCCTTTAAACATATAAGGCTTGGAAAAACCACTTACCTGTAAAAATACACATGTATACTCTCTTAATACCATGGATGTGTTTATTTATTTGGCTGGTGAAGTTCAGAGTTTGATTTCTAAAATTAAAATGGTACATGTTTCTCATTTTCTAGATGAAATGACTTCCATATGGTGGCAATTATCCAATTTACCTGAAGGTATTGATAGAAAAACATTCCGGTTACTCAGAATCGGTGTATTTTAATGCTTAGGTATACTGATTTCAAAGTCAGTAACTGGTTATCCTTAACTTAAAAGCTATCAAAAAACCATAGAGTGTATACCCAAAGAGGAGAGTGACCATCAGTTGAACTCTGGAACTTGGTACACACTAATATATTTTACAGAGCTTCCTATTATAAAGTACTATTTCTAGGCAGATGTTTCTTATAAAATTTGCAGACCTGAGAAAAAATATGTTGTGGAGCTGGGAAGTATTACATTGACACTCAAATGAGAGCATCTGTTTGCCTTGATTTTGTTTTTCTGACATACTGGTCTGATAGTCTTTCACCACTTGCCACATATGCTATTTGGATGAGCATTCTCCATTCTTTTGTGTATCCTTAGGTGAGGAAAGGATACAGGGGATTTAGAGTTCATCAAAACAGGAATAGTAAATAGAAAATATTATTCAAGTCAACTTGTTGAAATCATGGATGCCATTATTGTCATTTCATTCTTTTCATTGCAAAAAATGTTGTCTTATAGCTATATTGTTTTGCTTATGTATTTCTTTTGCTGTTACTATTAGTTTTGAAACAAAGAAGACTGCTCGAGACAGGTGGAAAGCAAATATAAACAGAGAAATGTAGAGTTCACCTGCCTACATAATCTGCAATGTTTTGTCTATATGCACTCTCTCAAAACAATTTTCTTTGTTTTTTTTTTAATTGATTTTTTTTATTTAAAAATAATAATATTGATTTCATCCTTTGTAGTGAATAGCAACGTCAGAGAAACACAGAGCAAAAGTTCTTCTGCTACTTCAAAGAAAACAACAGTATTTGGTGCTGGAGGTAAGTTCATTAAAAAAAAAAGATTTTTCAAAATATCAAATGATATATTGAATTTTTGAAATTAGGATGTTGGGAATATGATGCAAAACAGTTATGAGTTATGATATCTTGCTTCATAGTGCAGGTAAAGGAAAAAGATTACTAGTACAGCACTGCATTAACCATGGGTGCTATTATAGGTGAAGGTATTGGTTTATGTACTCCACATAAATCGTGTATTAAATCTACAAAATTCTTCACACATCAGGTTGCCTGGGTGCATCTCACCAGAAAAATTCCCATCCATATTCTCCAAGCAATAAAGGACATCAGCAACAGCAGCAGCAGCAACCACAACAGCATGGATCATATTCCCACCCAAACTTCCATCACCATCATCCACAACATCAGCAGCAACAGCAAAACCACCATCAGCACCAGCAAGTAAACAACCACATGGACACAGCACACATGGTAGGAGCACAAATGGCAGCACACCCACATGGCACTCATCCCTCACATTCACAAAGCGCTAATGCTTTATATGCTGCTGGGGACGGCAACAGCAAGGAGGTGCAGGCACTGAGGAATGAAGTTCTGGTGCTCAGAAAAGAACTGTCAAAATCAAGGGAAATGATACAGCGACTGCAGGAGAGAGAAAGGGCATTACAAGACAGGTAAATCATTTACAGCTTTCCCCCCTTTTTTTAGTAAAACATAGTACTAGTACTTATAGTTACAAAATAAATTTATACCTTGGGTATGGTAAAAAATTTGAAAATTTAAGTTTTAAGTTTGGTGACATTTTCAAAGTGAAAAAAATCATCTGACAAACTTCCAACACCGACTTAATTTTCAGGGTTTTTTTTACCGTATACAGACATTAATGTCAGTTTTTAAATATAATTATCATGATTTCTATTAATTTTTTCTTTTTGCAAGCTTAATACAAAATAGTTTAATACAATCCTAAACCTACCTCAGTGATTTTTATCATATATGTTTGAATGTTTTTCTTCAGGCTCTCTGAACAAGCCCAGAAACAGCTGGAGCAGGGACATAGATTTGAAGACATCAGTTTAGGTGACAATCGTCCTACACAGTTAATTCGACAGTATGGAAGCCTGTATGCAGATGCTCGACTTGATGCCCTTGATGCATTAGATGCTCTGCCTGACCTGACTGGCTTTGATGATTTGAAAGGGAAACTGCTGTTCTCTGTTGTGGTGGTAAATATCTGTGAACTTTTTAGTTTGCTCAACTGATGTTTGAAATAGTCTGTCTTTTGACATCATGAAACAGATTCATTTTTGTAAGTGAAGCTGTTATTAAACGCAACCCTGATGCACATTGGACGTGTGTAAAAAATTTTTTTGTCTGATTAAAAAATTAATTAAGTGAAATTGACTTAACATAGTACTTTTTTGTCACAGTTATCTTTCCGTGCTGCACAACAGTCATTAAAAGAAAAGAAGATGAAACTTCGTCAACTACTGTACATGCCATTAACACATGATGCTGCTGCAAGCACTGCCCCAATGATCAGAGAGATGGAGGTCAACATTGCAACATATCTAAGAAAAACTGCAGAAAACTTTGATGTGACCATTTTGGTAGAGGTGAGTATGGGAAATTATTTCAGTTACAAATATAATATGGTAATTGAAAGATGAAAGGGATTGCCATCTAAATCAACAGAAATATGTGAATGTCATTTCCTATTCCTCAGTTAAATTTCCTTAAAGAATAAAGTTTTATTTTTCACACAAAGGTTATTCTTGGAAGCTCCTTTGAATAAGCTATGGTGTTACTGTTTGTTATGAAAATGTCATTCTTTACTTGATTAAAATTTTTGTGAAATCTTTCAAAGCATTTTTATTCATTTTAGGAAGTCTGCAATCAACTCTGGGCCACTCTGTACGACTATCCAAGCTTAAAGAACAGTGATGGATTAAAAATCTATGTGACAGAATGTGTCCGCCTGGCATGGAAACTTTCTGTGCAAAACCCACCGTTGAGAATAGAATACGATTGCAGAGAGTTCCACAGCAGCATGCACACACGTTTTCATACTTCAGACTCTGACTCTGCAATGATCCAGTCATACCTGTGGCCTGCATTAATGGAAGGCCAAACTGGAACCTGTCTGTACAAAGGGGTTGTGATCACATAGTTGATTCAGTAAAAATGCCACAAACAGTTTTACATACTATCTTTACTAATAGTTTCCTTATAATACTATTATAAGGGTTTTTTTCTGGATGGCTGAACATAACATGTACTACAAAAATGCCAATATATATATATATATATATATATATATATATATATATATATATATATATTTTTTTTTTTTTTTTTTTTTTTCCAGTCATGTTTTTATAGAAATCAATGTCAATCTTATTAAAACTTTGTAAGGCTACAAACTTTTAGCTGTATTGATAAAACAGAATTTAATTTGTACAGTCCAAGATAGACATGCAGTATTTGCCAAACATAAATAATGTTTAACTAATTAGCTAATGGAACATGATATTCTAGGATTTTTGATCATCAGCAAACAGGAAAAAATTTGAACATGAGCATCAGGTTGTTATGATACAACCCAACATTGTAAATTTCCATCCTATGTAAACTGCATCTTTTGTATGAAGTGAAAGTGAAGTGAATTTTCACAGAAATACAAAGTTATTTTGTAATATAGCATTTACATTATACTTATTTAGAGAAAAATATATTATATTGTCCAAAAATACATATTAACTTCTTTAATTATGGCAAGAAAATTTATTTATTGGTTATTTTCGAAAAAATACAGAAGCAGCAATACATTCAGTGGGAAATTTGTTATCACTGTGGGACCCCATTAATTCAACAGGTGTCCAAGTTTTTTGAAGTAACTTTTAGAAAGTATTTTTGCAATTTTTATATTTCTATTAACATTTGGAATACATGCACAATGTAAATATAATGCAATAAAGCTTAATTATTAAGGCTTTACCATTTGCAATGTATTGTTTTTTTTTCTTACCTGGTCAGATCATTAAATGATAAGAGCCCCCACTGAAGATTTGTTTCTTAAATAAGGAAAAATTCACTGAAGGCACTGAAATGATGTAAAATGTGTGTAATATAATAATTTTTTTAAAAAAAGTGAATTTCAGATGAGGGGTTGTTCTACCTGTTGAAATGCACAGAGCGGGTTGCATATATATATATATATTGACTGATATTTCCATAAAGATGATAATTTATAAAATACTTAAACACATGCAGAAGCTGCCATATATATATATATATATATATATATATATATATATATATATATATATATACACACACACACACACACAAATGGCCCAAGAAGTAGAAACACCCTTTATGTTGGAGACATTTAAAACGTCATGAGCATCTTTGATAATGTCTTTGTTTCTAGTTAATAATCCTTCAGACGCCTTGTATACAATTTTCAAATATTGATATTAAGACATTTGATCTCTAATTTATATCTTGAACGATGTCATAGTGCTGGCAATGGAATGAGGGATGCAATACAGATGGCTAAGGCTCTACAAAGCCACAAACTAAATATGGCCGACGTAAATGAAAGGAAAACCGCCTAATCTTCTAATAGTCTCTCCGCCTCTCACACACCTCCCCATGTGTCATCCCTACGGGGGTACAGTCATTAAATCTCAGCTCCATTGGGACGACAGATGGGGAGGCGTGTGAGAGGCGGAGAGACTATTAAAAGATTAGGCGGTTTTCCTTTCATGTACATCCACCATATTTAGGTCGTGGCTTTGTAGAGCCATGGCTCAACTCGATGTGAATGCGGCCCAAGTGGTCAAACAAATCCACCTACAGTAATAACAATATGTTAACTAATAAAACACCGATCTTCTTCAACAACTTCACTAGAAAATTGTAACTTCATTGCAAAGCACAAACTAAAGGAAAAATGTATATATTATAAACTAAAGAAGAAAACTAATTACTATTATATATTAAGAATTTGGAGGGTTGACAAAATGGATTTAACTGATGTATTATTATCAACTTTTGAGTATTCCTAATTGGCTGAGGTTGCTCCCTGCATGTAATTTTTCTAGTTTTAGCATTAATAATATCACTTTCCACTTAGTTCATAACTTTGTTGTGTTGTGGTGGTAGAAATGGCATTTGGTGATAAATTCGTCAGCCAATCACGGCTCAATAAATGCATTTCAAGTTTAGATCAAGTTGCTCCGCTAAATACTCTGAGGCCGCATTCACATCGAGAAGAGCCGAGGCTCTACAAACCCGAGAACTAAATATGGCGGACGTACATGAAAGGAAAACCGCCTAATCCATTAATGGTTTCTCTGCCTCTCACACGCCTCCTCACCCGTCGTCTCTGCGGGGGTACAGTCATTAAATCTCGGCTCCATTGGGACGTGTGGGGAGGCATGTATGAGAGGCGAAGAGACTATTAAAAGATTAGGTGGTTTTCCTTTCATGTACGAGCCTCGGCTCTCCTCGATGTGAATGCGGCCTGAGATACATGTACATGTTTGTACTTCAAAACAAAAGTGAAACACTTGACTTTGGATTGAAAATGAAATTCAACTAAAATATATCCCACAAAAAACGTGTGATGCAAATGGTAGAGTAACAAAAACAGTTAGGCACGTTAACATCGGACGAAACCTTTCAACATACATCAAACGCATACACAAACTGCAACACTTTGCTAGAATTTCATCGTGATCTTTTTACTCTGGAGATTGTATTGCACGTAGAAGTGAAACTGAGGCTGTTGGCAGCTCTGTGCGTGTTGAGCGTGCAAGTGCTCTTATGTTTTAAAGATTATTCTCATGTGATACTCATGTTACCTTGTGTATGACGTTAGCTGTTACAGTAATCTCAAAAACTAAGGTATGTTTCTGTATGATAACGTAATATTATTAGTAGTTGTAGCTAGTACTACTAGTTAAAACTTTGAATGTGACTTAATGGTTGTAAGTACATGTACATGTGTACTTCTTACAGTAAGAGTGTATATAGCGAACGTTTCTGCTTTGCCTCGAATCTGGTTAATCTTTACCTGGATTGTTTTTAAAATAATTTAATAAAATCACTTTTCTTAGTTGACTGAATATATTTAAAACTTGTGGAATTCTGTTATGACCTGTGATTGACTCTTGCCAGTATTGATCAGGATTTGGGAATGTGGATAGCCATGCTGACGAGTAAATGGACTTCTCAATCTAGAGTCATCGGGAAAAATCATTGGGTTTTCAGCAATGTGCAACTCATTTAGTTTAGAGTTAAGAGAAATATCTAAAACAGTGTTTATTATTATTATTATTATTATTATTTTATTTATTTATTTTTTATTTGCAATTGAAGTCATGTTAAGACTTGAGCAATATATTAACCCAAAAATAAAGGTAAAAAGGAGAGCTTAAGGCTGATTATTTAGAACTTCTGAACTCCTCTCTGAACTTCTTAAAACTTCTGACACATAAGATAGTTAGATTTACCAGATATGTGTTCATTTGGACAAGGTGGAACTCACTGCATAAAGGTACTAGCAATGACCTTCATAGATGTGTCCAAGAGAAGGAAGTAAAGCAGACAGGTTGGGTAAAATGTTATAACATTAACATGTAGCTGTAGAGCCTGATTTAAATTGGAAGTTGATTGAAAAAAATTAGCTTCAGACTTGATGCCTTTGTTTGTTATGATATAACTCATAATGTATCCTTGTTTTTTTTTTTTCAGATTTATGTGAAATTTATGCCATCACTTTTCTGTCAGTTATTGTTAAAATGCTGAGAAAAGTATTTCAAGTTACCAGAAATTCTAACAACTGTCTCTTTAGAAGTATTTGTGAACATAAGTCAAGTCTTCAGGCTGTTGAATGTACAGTTCTGCAAGGTAGGTTGATACAGTGGATGATTTAAAACAAGTCTGAAAGTTATCAATCAAATTATTAGGGAATTTACAGATTAGAATTATCTTCTTAATTCTGTAATATGCAATTTGGGCAAAAATCTTACGTACTATTAAGAACTTGATTAATTATACCACCAGCGGGGTGCTGGCGGTACACTTGGTTTTAGTCCTGACCCGTCTTTTCCATCAGCCCTGTCTCCACATGACTGTTACCACTTCTTCTCCTAGTCTACAAGGGCCTGGGTACCCATCTCTTGGATTAAGGTAACACATAATCTCATCTTGTTCCACAAAAATTTTGAGCTCTGTCGGTACACTGGTCTAGGTGTAGCCTTCATCGCAATGCACCTTTGTCCAAAATTTGCAAAATTTAATGCTTAATATCTCCTATTGGTTTTCCTTGAAATGTGTTATTGGATGATCATTTTTTTATTGAATTTATGCAATTTTTTGTGAAATTTTCATTTTTTTCATTCTGGCATTTTCAAAGTGTAAACTTGAACTCTCAGGGGCCCATAGCCTAATGCTTGTTACACATTTACTTATATCAGTATTATCTGATGTGCATAATTTAAATTTGATGTTGACTTTGCAAATAAGCATAATGTATTATTGCATCAGAATTGACAGTAACCTATTTTGTGCATTATTATTTTCTGCTTTTTGTCCGTACATTTTACAGCTTTGCTGCCTTGTTTTGTTTTCCATCAAAAAGTTCAATGTAGCAATATTTAGTTGTGAAATTAAAATATGAAATAACTGCAAACTTATCAGAGATACGCCCTTAGTTACTATTGAGCTTAAATAGGAACTCAAATACTGGCAATCTAACTGTGATCTTAGAATTGACCTTTGACTTACTTTTCACCATGAACTGAGCCTTGCATATTTTCTGTCCCTTATATCTCCAAAACTGGCAGAGATACACTCATAGGTACTTTTGAACTTCTTGGCTTACTTTTCACCATGAAATGACTTGGAAAAGATTCCCCTCCCTTATATCCCAGGATTTATTTAGATATACCCATAGATACTACTGAACTTGAATAGAAACTCATATATTGACAGCCTTCCTGTGATCTTGACTTTGACATTTGACTTACTTTTCACCATGAACCGCACTTCACAAATTTGGATTTGCCCTTTTCCTTTCTCCCATGATTTTGTTATAAATTGTAATTTTCCACAAAAAAATGGGAACTCTTGATTGTTAACTGCTTTTTGTAGAGCTTGCTGAGCACAACACTGGAGGTGGTTTCCCTTTTTTTTTCATATGAATGTGCTTAATCCAGCTGGTGGTACAATACCCGGAGGCTGTATCGCCTCTCTGATCTTCTAGTTTATTTTTATTTTTGCTCATTGTAATAATTTTCTCTGATTGCAATTTTTTTTTTTTACAGCAACTATGTAACAGCAACTTTTTATATATTTCAGTACCAAGTGTGGGATTAAGTACCACCCATTATCTGCTAGACAAAAGCATAAAGAAAAAAAATTTAACACTTGAAGAAGGATTAACCCGTGAATATAAATTGTAAGTCTGAAGATAGAACCATCATAATTGGAATCATCTGAGATAGCCCAAAGTCTTGACTTTGGGACCATTCAGAATGAGAAGAGTTGAGTGCTAGCAAGGCCTCGACTTAAATATGGCAGACCTACATCAAAGGAAGACCGCTTAGTCCTGTAATGGTCTCTCCACCTCTCACACGCCTCCCCACGCATTGTCCCTGCAGGGGCACAGTAATTAAATCGCGGCTCAATTCAACCGGTCGAGGGACGACACTTGGGGAGGCGTTTGAGAGGCAGAGAAACCATTACAGGATTAAGCAGTCTTCCTTTCATGTAGGTTCCAAATTTAGTGAGACTCCCCAGGGAGATAGATTGTTCCAAATATCTGTGGGAATGGTCCCTAAGATATGCTTTTTTTGTGAATTTTTCATTTTTCACTTTGTAGTATTTTCAAGTTGTGATTTTGAAAAAAAAATTGGTGATGATTATGCTGTTAAGCATTATGTAATGTAGCATTAAAATTGAAGAAAACTATTTTGGACACTGCTGCCTTGATGACCATTAAGGGAAAACCGTGTTACTTATGATTTTGAAACTAAGAAAAAAAGACACATAGGACTAAAATGCAGCCCGAGTTGGAAAAGCAGTCAAGTTGGCTTCTTTTTCTTGAAGTTTACATTTAAGTGAAATTTTTGTCTTTCACGTATTGGCATTTTCAATGTGGGACTTAGAACTCCCAAGGGTATGAAGCCCAGTGGTAATCATAAGTTCTAAATGTCCATGTTATTTATAGTGGATAATTAACATTGGTGGTATTTATACAGTTAATCATTATCTAATGTATCAAAATTAGCAAAAAAAACCTACCTTGTGCACTGCCACCACAAACATTATGTAAGGAAAACTGAATTACTTACTTTTTTTTTTTAATAACAAGAACTATTCTTAGGATTGACATACAGCTCAAATTAGTGAACCAACTCTGTTGGATTATCATTTTTTATTGAATTTATGCAATTTTTTCGTGGAATTTTCATTTAGCTCTTTCTGGCATTTTCAAAGTGTGAACTTGAAATCTCATGGGCCTGAAGCCTTATGCTTGTTGACATTTTACTTACATTGGTATTACCTGTTGTGCACAATTAAAATTTTATGTTGATGTTGCAGTTAAACCTAATAAAATATTGCATCAAAAATGACGGGAGCCTATTTTGTGCAGTATTATTTTCCGTTTTTTGTCTTTGCCTTTGACAAGTTGCTGCCTTGTTTCATTTTTCACGTCTGACTTCATTAGACTAAAACCTTATGTTAGTAATTTTTTTGCATATCCATGTGACCATAATTAATATTTGGTGGTGATTCTGCTGTTAAGCATTACAAGCAATATTGCATCAGAATTAACAAAAAACTTTCAGTAATTCTTGCATTATTATTTTCTGCTTCATGCCTGTACATCTGACTGTTTTGCTGCCCTGTTGTCTTTTCAGGTCTCAAAATGTAGGTGAAACATTTTATACAGAATTTGAGGAGTAAGTTAAAAGGGTTGGATTTTCCATAGCAAAATGTATAATGTGAGCACAGTGCCACTTTTAAAACAGAATGCATATAAATTTAACATTCAAAGAGGTGTTTAGTCAGCTCTGAAAAGTAGGCATGCTGAAGGATATTTATTTTAAATTATTTTTCATTTTATCTCAAAAATTCAAATTAAAACTTTGTATGTAGCTTGCAACCAAAATATTCCCCTTTGTGTCATTCCACCAGGAAAANTCTAGTTTAAATTTGATGTTGACTTTGCAAATAAGCATAATGTATTATTGCATCAGAATTGACAGTAACCTATTTTGTGCATTATTATTTTCTGCTTTTTGTCTGTACATTTTACAGCTTTGCTGCCTTGTTTTGTTTTCCATCAAAAAGTTCAATGTAGCAATATTTTGTTGTGAAATTAAAATATGAAATAACTGCAAACTTATCAGAGATACGCCCTTAGTTACTATTGAGCTTAAATAGGAACCCAAATACTGGCAATCTAACTGTGATCTTAGAATTGACCTTTGACTTACTTTTCACCATGAACTGAGCCTTGCATATTTTCTGTCCCTTATATCTCCAAAACTGGCAGAGATACACTCATAGGTACTATTGAACTTCTTGGCTTACTTTTCACCATGAAATGACTTGGAAAAGATTCCCCTCCCTTATATCCCAGGAACTGGCACAGATATACCCATAGATACTACTGAACTTGAATAGAAACTCATATATTGACAGCCTTCCTGTGATCTTGACTTTGACATTTGACTTACTTTTCACCATGAACCGCACTTCACAAATTTGGATTTGCCCTTTTCCTTTCCCCCATGATTTTGTTATATATTGTAATTTTCCACAAAAAAAGGGAACTCTTGATTGTTAACTGCTTTTTGTAGAGCTTGCTGAGCACAACACTGGAGGTGGTTTCCCTTTTTTTTCATACAAATGTGCTTAATCCAGCTGGTGGTACAATACCCGGAGGCTGTATCGCCTCTCTGATCTTCTAGTTTATTTTTATTTTTGCTCATTGTAATAATTTTCTCTGATTGCAAGGGTTAATTTTTTTTACAGCAACTATGTAACAGCAACTTTTTATATATTTCAGTACCAAGTGTGGGATTAAGTACCACCCATTATCTGCTAGACAAAAGCATAAAGAAAAAAAATTTAACACTTGATGAAGGATTAACCCGTGAATATAAATTGTAAGTCTGAAGATAGAACCATCATAATTGGAATCATCTGAGGTAGCCCAAAGTCTTGATTTTGGGACCATTCAGAATGAGAAGAGTTGAGTGCTAGCAAGGCCTCGACTTAAATGTGGCAGACCTACATCAAAGGAAGACCGCCTAGTCCTGTAATGGTCTCTCCACCTCTCACACACCTCCCCACGCATTGTCCCTGCAGGGGCACAGTAATTAAATCGCGGCTCAATTCAACTGGTCGAGAGACGACACATGGGGAGGCGTGTGAGAGGCAGAGAAACCAATACAGGATTAAGCAGTCTTCCTTTCATGTAGGTCCGCCATATTTAGATCGTGGCCTTGCTAACACTTGGCTCTTCTCATTCTGAATGGTTCCCTTGTTTGAAATCAAGCCAGATTTCGCAATATTTTGAGGAGTGCGGGGTCAAAAATAGTGATAGGCTATTGAGTACAGTATGGCAATAAATAAAATCTGACAGTTTATCCACACATATTTTCTGGTTGTTTCCTGCTGGAATACAGTTAATGGCACAACAATATGAATTCACCATGTTTTGAAAGTTACTTCTTTTTTACTTTCTAAGAAGACGGTGTATAAAGTTTCACCTAAATACTTAAAACAGCCCACCTCTTGCATATTCTTGCAAATATTCTTGTCTCATGTAATGTTGTCGGCATCACGACCCTTGTTTTGGGCTATTTTGGATGATTCCCATTGTGTATATTAATTCTTAGAAATTCACAATAATTTTTTACTTTCGTTTTGATTTATTTAAATCACCTGTGTCTGATGTCGTTGTTGCTGTGCATTTTTCACCATTAGTGCCATATGAGGAAAACGGTGACTTATTAACATCAAACTTGCTAGAGTGATTAATGGCACAAAAATACAGGTTAAGATTAGAAAGCAGCATTGGATTATTTTTCTTTAAGACTGGGTTCCCATGCCTAGATCGATCCATCTAGGTCGGTCTAACTTCCTGGGGAGTCTCACTAAATTGTTATCAACTGACCGGCTTAAATGTCTGTCACGCCTACCAAATCAGCTAGGGAGTAAAGATAATTACCCCCTAACAGCTTTACTAGGCATGGCAGACATTTAAGCCAGTTGGTTGATAGCAATTTAGTGAGACTCCCCAGGGAGATAGATTGTTCCCAATATCTGTGGGAATGGTCCCTAAGATATGCTTTTTTAGTGAATTTTTCATTTTTCACTTTGTAGCATTTTCAAGTTGTGATTTTTAAAAAAAAATTGGTGATGATTATGCTGTTAAGCATTATGTAATGTAGCATTAAAATTGAAGAAAACTATTTTGGACACTGCTGCCTTGATGACCATTAAGGGAAAACCGTGTTACTTATGATTTTGAAACTTAGAAAAAAAGACACAGGACTAAAATGCAGCCTGAGTTGGAAAAGCAGTCAAGTTGGCTTCTTTTTCTGGAAGTTATACATTTTAGTGAAATTTTTGTCTTTCACATATTGGCATTTTCAATGTGGGACTTAGAACTCCCAAGGGTATGAAGCCCAGTGGTAATCATAAGTTCTAAATGTCCATGTTATTTATAGTGGATAATTAACATTGGTGGTATTTATACAGTTAATCATTATCTAATGTATCAAAATTGGCAAAAAAAACTACCTTGTGCACTGCCACCACAAACATTATTTAAAGAAAACTGAATTACTTATTATTATTTTTTTTAATAACAAGAACTATTCTTAGGATTGACATACAGCTCAAGTTAGTGAACCAACTCTGTTGGATTATCATTTTTTATTGAATTTATGCAATTTTTTCATGGAATTTTCATTTAGCTCTTTCTGGCATTTTCAAAGTGTGAACTTGAAATCTCATGGGCCTGAAGCCTTATGCTTGTTGACATTTTACTTACATTGGTATTACCTGTTGTGCACAATTAAAATTTTATGTTGATGTTGCAGTTAACCCTAATGAATTATTGCATCAAAAATGACGGGAGCCTATTTTGTGCAGTATTATTTTCCGTTTTTTGTCTTTGCCTTTGACAAGTTGCTGCCTTGTTTCATTTTTCACGTCTGACTTCATTAGACTAAAACCTTATGTTAGTAATTTTTTTGCATGTCCATGTGACCATAATTAATATTTGGTGGTGATTCTGCTGTTAAGCATTACAAGCATCAGAATTAACAAAAAACTTTCAGTAATTCTTGCATTATTATTTTCTGCTTTATGCCTGTACATCTGACTGTTTTGCTGCCCTGTTGTCTTTTCAGGTTTCAAAATGTAGGTGAAACATTTTATACAGAATTTGAGGAGTAAGTTAAAAGGGTTGGATTTTCCATAGCAAAATGTATAATGTGAGCACAGTGCCACTTTTAAAACAGAATGCATATAAATTTAACATTCAAAGAGGTGTTTAGTCAGCTCTGAAAAGTAGGCATGCTGAAGTATATTTATTTTAAATTATTTTTCATTTTATCTCAAAAATTCAAATTAAAACTTTGTATGTAGCTTGCAACCAAAATATTCCCCTTTGTGTCATTCCACCAGGAAAACATTTACAGATTTTTCATGGGGCAGGAAAGTTTTTCCCGACCACTTAACAGGTGCAACAGTTGTAAATAATGTACGGTATGATGAGCTCCCAATTGTACATATGAAATGCTCAAACAACAACATAGTTTATTCTGTCACAGATCATACAGGTAAGAAGAAAGAAAGGTTTGTTTTCATGTATCAATTATTGTTGATGAATGCATGGATTACATTTGAAATATAGTTTTTGTACTCTTTTTATTTGATAAATTAATTTGATTTGACATTTTAAGTTTATCAGTATTGTTATTGTGTGTTATAAGAACATGTTTTATTGAAGACTTTAAAGAATTGAAAAAACTTGATATGCACATATCCATCAAAATGAAAAAGAAGAAGAAAAACTTGTAATACTCTTTGTTGGCATACTTCAATTTTTTATTATTTTTACAGGTAAACAATATTTTTCATGGTCAGGGGTATGTAGCATATCTTTCTCTTGCATTTTAAACTCATGCAATTAACATATTTCAAATTCGATGCTTTGCTAACAACATTTTCTGCCTCAGATATTGCATGGAAGATTGCTCTTTTGATTAATTGATTTAAGTATACTATTCCAAATTAAGCAGTTTTCTAACAGAAAAATGCTTGAAGGATCACTTATTTACAATTAATCTTAATTTATGTCATTATTGGCATAGCCTTGAAATGTTACAATGTTAACCATCAATATAAAGAGGAAATGGAAAAAATTATTTCAATGTTAAAATATTTTTGTTTTTTAAGGGTCTTGAGGGTTTTAAGAACAAGAAAAAGGGCAGCACTATGGCGGCTCAAGCCTCTGCCATGTCTGTAGCTAAGCGGGCAGTAGAAACACTGGGTATCAAAGTTGTCAGAGTTAAAATGAGAGGATTGGGACAAGGAAGAGTGGTAGGTATAACGGACATTAGTAATTCAGATACAACTATTTAGCTTAGCTTGTCCTTCATTTTTGATCATATTTTTAAAAAATTTTTATTCTTATTTATTTTTTGTCCTCTGCCTTCTCAGTAAAGGTAAAAGAAAGATAACATCTTAAAATGAATGCAGATTTTACATTTTTAACTTATTCATACACGAATAACAATTTTAAAGTTATCAAAACTATTTTATCATTTACTGTCTTTAGTTTTAATTGTTAGGGTAATAAAAATTTTTGTGTCTAATGATGATTAATAATGTATTTTCTTTGAAATTTTAAAGCAATGCACTCTTTGAAATTTGGCTGCTAACTTACACCAAAGCTTCACAGTTATATTATATTCTAAATACTTTTTTAAAAGTGCTTTATAATATGATGAAAATTTACGTTTTTTTTTTCTTCTTATATGAAAGGAATAAAAAAGGATATGATCAAAATTTCATTTTCTATTTCAGTCAGCACTTCGAGGATTGCAAATAGGAGGGCTTTCGATAGTATCCCTCACAGATACCTCCTCTATAAAGCATTCTTTTTTGAAAGGGCGTAAACCAAGAGTGATATAATCTGGTGTTTTGCAAATGCAAGACCAATTGACATGGACTGTAAAGCTGTGGCAGAGATGTCTTAATAATTAAAAGCATGCAATCCGACTTTCAAGTCCAGAAGTTGATATGCAAGTAGTGATCACTTGAAAATACACTTGGGCAAATCACAAAAAATGATGTGCAAGCATAATATACAGTTGTCTTTAGAAAATCCTCTTAACATTTTGGGGATGTCTGGGCCATCTTCCAACCTTACTATGGCACGTGTCATCTGGGATCTGAACTGTAAATCTGACAAGTCCATACCACATTCTGAAATGGCAAAATTCCAAGTACACTGTATCATTTATCATAGTACATTTGTAGATCTTCTTTTGGACATGGTTATTTACTATAGCTGAGTGAAACATATTGGAAGTCAGGCTTATCCAAAACAATTATAAAAGAAACCAGAAAATTGATGGTAATTTAAGAAATTTACACACTGGTTCATGTATGCCGTTACATGTAGTTAGATTAATGTCATTACAATTATAAATAAACTTTGGTCATTCAGTATTATATATTTGATTAGTGGTTTTTCATTATATATAAATCTAATATTACAGTGAAATGACTGGTAATAAGACAATATGAAAGAGAAAACAAATTGGGTCCTGGTTAAGGTTGTATGCCATATCATCACTGCAAAGTTGCAGATGCTCAGTGAAAGATTTAGCCAATTTTCCATTGGTAAATAGTGTTTTTTTTAACTTCAGCTACATTCCTGATACTCTTCATAACTCTTACAATCTGGGTTTTTTCTTTGGGTTGCGTGCAATTTAAATTTTGTCATAGTGGTTGACAGCTGGATAAGGTCGTCAGGATGCGATGAATCAAATTATTTTTGGCAATCTTTATTCATGGCATTTTTTGTTAGAAATTATCGAAAAATGTTACTTCTCAGATGAGTTCATTAAGTGGGTTATGTACTATTTGTTTTTTTTTTTTTTTTTTAATCTTATACTTGTCCTTTTACTTGGTGATACAAACTTATTGCCTTTCTTGACTTACGTTTTAAACCGACGTAACAGGAAAGGTAGTCTGCTCCCCACAACTGTGTACAGGTAATATTCGTCCCATATATTAACCATAATACTCCCACTGTACTAATCATTATGGGACTTCGGACTTCCATTCCTGTCACACTTAGATCTGGGTTGGAAAAGTTTTTTTTTTCTTTTTAAATTATTATTGGTATTGCACGGAAATACATGATACGTAATGATACGGAGAAAGGGGGGGAAAAATGGTTCCGCCCGGGATCGAACCGGGGACCTTCTGCGTGTTAGGCAGATGTGATAACCGCTACACCACGGAGCCTTGTTGGATAATGATGGCGTTACATTGTATTTTATTCTCTAGGTAGTCGATACTCCGCACTTTATTGATTTAATGTTATTAGCTTTGTTTTAAATTAAAGTTTTTGTTGTATGGATTTTAGTCTTAATTCAATACATTTCTACATTCATTTCACGCTTAAAACGTTAAAATCCACATATCAATTACCGGAAGTGACGAAAAATGCGAGGTGCTACGAGGTAATTTGCTTGAATAACAACCAATCACAACTCGACACACTATATCCACGTTGACCAGCCATCTTGGAAAAGAAACATTATCAGTGGAGGGCGAGACACTGCACCGGTATTTACGAGATGGCTCGACACGTTCTCATCCTGGTTCTGATTGCTGTGACAAGTGTCTTGTCTGAGGACACCGAAGTTTTGGAGTACACAGATGCTGATTTTGCAGACAAAATAGGTGACCATGAAGTTGCTTTGGTCGAGTTTTTTGCACCCTGGTAAGTCATTGTAACACGTGCGAGAAGCCGGCCGGCTGCAGTCTGTACTTTCAATTTTTTAAATTGCATAACATACGCTTTGATCGATTGAAATATGTTTTAAAATGCAAAATGTCAATATTTAAATTAAGATTTTTTGTACCTTCTTAGCAGTAACCGCCGCTTTATTGTGTCAAACGTTGAAGTCAAATAAAATTGTGAAAATCAAGTTTTGTTAAACTTCAGCCTTAAAGTTATGTACTGTATTTACAGAGACACTTTTTTCTCCTATTCTTTCCCCTTATTTTGCAACAGTGCTCCCCCCCTTGTTTGTTTTGCCTTGTATCATGGAAGCCGAGTTTGCCACTTGAACACTTTACTTTTCGTACAGTTATTATTATTTCCAGGTGTTAATTTGTGTTGTATTGATTTTTGAAACCAGTGTATCTTACATAAAACAATGTTCATGCCCTTTTTTTCGAGAACATTCTGTCAGTATTTTCACCAAAAGACTGAACACTTTATATATTCATGTTTTGTTAATTATAACTGAAAGTAGAATCAGTGCCATATAACAGATAAGGAAACAATTTTACAGAGAAAGTTATATATCTTTTCATAGTTTTTCAAATTGTGGACAATTACTTAAAATTTGAAGTTTCAATTATTATCTACTGAAGAATGTCAGGGGAGCTTCCGAAGTAAATAATTGTAAGATGGTCGCTGGAGTGAAATATTAAATATTCATGACACTGTACTGGTGCCACGTATAATGCAAAGAATATTTTGTTGAATTATAATATCAAAAAGCAAGTAACACTGGACGTTAAATAAAGTGCCCTTGTGTTTTGTATTATTTCATATATTTGTATTAATTATTACATTTTTTATTGATTAACTATTTTAATATGCATAATCAAATATACCTTATAATTCATTTATGAACTTCTTACTATTCAGGTGTGGGCATTGTAAAAGATTGGCACCAGAATATGACAAAGCATCCATAACATTGAAGAAAAAATGATCCACCTGTCCCATTGATAAAGGTGAGGGCCATTTGATAAGAAGAGTGAACACTTTTAAGTTCAGAACCCATCCATAGGTGTAGTTTATGGTTTTAAATTTTCTTTCCATGTTTTAAGAATTGTATACAGGTCATCCTTGATTTGCCTGAAATGAGCTTTTGCCAGCATGGATTTATCATTAAAGAGGGGAGGTGACACATGGTAACAGTATGCTGATGGATGTTTTTATTGCACAATAAGCTTTAATGGGAAAGGAAGAAACATATAATATATAATTTCTCTTCTGCTGAGTCATTTATCTTCCATCTCATGTACCCTGCAGCAATGATGTTTGGAAACTAAATTTATCATCTTGTCCCAGTTTAGAATTGGTAACATCACAATGCTAGTTAGGGTTTTACAGTACTATTTTATGTTTGTATCAGCAACAGGTTGTTCCACCAAAAAAGGGGAGCATTTGAATCATATGAGTAATGTGCACATTTGGCATATTTTAGTTTGACTTTTTATTTTTAATTCTTTGTTAGAGGGTGGTATAAAATGGTGAAAATAACGGGGCAAGTCAAAATAATACAAATATTACACAAAAATGTATCACTGGTATAACTCAAATGTTCACTTTCATGTGGAATGGCTCTTCCCAAGTTCAGCAAAGGTATATGCTATAACACATGACTGTAATTTATGCAAGAGTCAACTTTTCACAATACAGAACTGAGATACCATTTTGAACAAAAAATCTAGAATCTACTTTAAAAAGTTCTCACATGTTACATTTTGCTTTTAGGTGGACTGTACTGCCAACACAGAAACCTGTGGTAAATTTGGAGTGTCTGGATATCCAACTCTGAAAATCTTCAAGGGAGGAGAGGTGGCTTCTGATTACAATGGTCCCAGAGATGCATGTAAATATTTCACACGAAGGAAATTTTTAAAATCTAATACTGTACAATCTAGTTGAAGTTGTGTTGTGAAATGTGACTGAATGACTAACATACATAGTGTTGTCATGTAATTCTTGTAATAATCTCTCAAAACAGCCTCTGAGTAACACATTTTTATGAAGTAAATATTTGAACCATAAAAAATGTCAGTAGAGTAGAAAGAGGCTTCTTATATCCACTAGTCTTGGTTTTAAGTAGTTTTTCTGTCACATCAACTCTTAGATATAATACCGTCTGAATTTGATCAAGCTAAAGTTAATGTTTCAAAAAAAAAAAAAAAAAAAAAAAAAATTAACTTAATGGGGATACTGTATTGTAGCTGGCATTGTGTCCTACATGAGATCCAAAGCAGGACCAAGCTCCAAAACACTCACATCAGTGGCTGACTTAGAAAAATTCCTGGATAATGAAGAACACAGCATTGTTGGTATGTGAAGATATTTCTTCAAGAACAAAAAGATATTTTGATAATTGAATGAACAGTGCTAGTGTAAGAATGTAATTCCTTGAGAAGTAGAAATTATTTCATGTCTTATCTGAGCACATGAATGATTGGTTGGAATTCTGAGATACCACCCTAATGCGATCAAGCAAATACTTGTCCATAATGAAACTTTATATGTATTAAAACACGATTTAATTTGTTTAATATCAAATGTTTAATTTGTTTAATATCAAACATGGAGTTCAATGTCAATTTCATTTGCGTTGTAGGATTTTTCAAGAGTGCAGAGAGTGACATTGCAAAGCAGTTCCAAAAAGCAGCAGAAGGTTTGAGTGAAAAATTCCGTTTTGCTCACACAACTGAGAGTGATGTACTGAAAAAGCAGGACTACAGCGAGTAAGTACATTGATCTCTGTTGGATTGGGATATCCTCATGATTGCAGATACACCCATCCCAACAAATCAAACCACAAAATTATTGTAACCTGTCTGGTAGCCAACTTTATTTAGGAGTGGTTCTCTAGAAACAATTTTATTTCATTAATTAACGCACATCTGATGTTGCCTTGAATGAAAACGTACATGTGTGTTTGTAATCTTTTGTAGATAGATAGATATATATTTATATTAGTGATAAACAATAGAGAGCAGTCCATGTCAGTGATGAATTAATATGCAGACATTTGAACTTTCTGATCACACCAATATGATTGTGCTTGATAGGCCTGAGACATGGATTTTAATTATTTTCTGATATTTTTGTCTTTGTTCTAATAATGATGATTATTATTAATACATATAGTGTGATAGGGAGTCAACCTGTAAGATATAAATTGAACTATTTTGACAGGTATGAAAAAATGTTGAAAATTACTAAAATTAATTAATTCTGATATGAGTATGCAGTGAAATTATTTTTTTCAGTGATATTGTCATCTTCCAACCACCGAAGTTGCAGGTGAAGTTGGAATCCACTACAAAGAAGTATGATGGAGATGCCACTTTACATAAGATAAAGTCCTGGATCATGGACAATGTGTAAGTACACCATCCAAACCCCACCCACCCACCCACCCAACCCCACCTTTAAAAAATGATACTAATAAATAAATAACTAAAATAAAAATGAATAAAGCAGTAAACAAAAAACAAGATAAGATATTGCTGCAATAACATATTTTATCAATTAACTTAATAATTTATTTATCTAGATAATGACTGGTGATTTTTAAAGTTATCAGTACTCTATTTATTGCATTGTAATTGCTGGAACTTCCTAACCATGCTGATGATGAACTCATGAAGTCGACAATTCCTTACTCATTTGAGGGTTCACTGATATCTAATGATAGGCCTGAAGCATGATGACAAAGAGCAATTGATGTATTGTTCTATAGTCGACCATTTTCAGATTGTTAAGTAAAACTTTCTACTATGTGGAACAATGGTTGCTAGTTGATTGTCAGCTTCATCTTTGTGTTAAACGAACCAATCTTATCTTGTTTCCAGCCATGGTCTTGCAGGCTTCAGGACTCCCTCTAATGCTGATCAGTTCAAGCAACCTTTGGTGGTGGCATATTACAATGCTGACTACAAGCTCAATCCTAAAGGAAGTAACTACTGGAGAAACAGGTAAACCACCTGTACACCTATTACAGTGGAAAGTGCATTGTAAAAAAATTATTTTGAAGGGGTCAATGTAAGCAGCATTACAATATGTAGCATGGTCTGTTAAGTTAGAAAACCTAATTGGTCATGTATTTTGCTAACACACATAAGCATATAGTTTATGTAATTCATTTCTCTTGTGAAGTCTGTTCTTTTATATTCAAGGGTATTGAAGGTGGGCAAGAAGCTTGTTGAAGCAGGGAGACAAGTGAACTTTGCTGTGTCTAACAAGGCTGATTTTGCTGGAGAATTGGAGGAGTTTGGGATCTCTGCTCCAGAGGGAGACAAGCCAGTGGTGGCAGCCAAAGATAGCAGTGGAAAGAAATTTGTCATGAGTGAGGAATTCACGTAAGATAATCTTGGCCTTTTAAAAACAAAAATTATTTCACCCATCAAAATTCTTTGCAAATATCAGAAAAATATTACCAAGATTTCATGGAGTAACTTTGTTTTAGAGTAATTATTCAAAATTATTTTGTCGGCTTTTTCAATATATAATGATATGACTGACAGAAGTTCACAGAACTGGTGTTTTTATTATTTTAGGATGGATGCCTTTGAAACTTTTGTAACAGCTTTTCTTGATGGTAAATTGGAACCATACCTGAAATCTGAACCAATTCCAGACAACGATGGACCATTAAAGGTAAAAAGCCAACATTATGTATGAAAGGAACATTTTTAGAAATTTGAGATTTTGTGTTGCACGGAATGAGCACCATTTATGAGAGTTTGGTCCTGTACTCACTGCATTAAGTTTTGTAGAATCTTCCTCTAAAATAATGGAAAGGAAGCACCGAGAAGCACCAAAAATAAACCAGATTCAAAAAATTTGGATTTATGTATTAATTAAACTTAAATATAAGTTATTATTTCTTACCAAGTTAGTATTTGTGACATTTTATCTTTTAGACTGTAGTGGCCAAAAACTTTGATGAAATAGTCAATGATGACACTAAAGATGTCCTAATAGAGTTCTATGCTCCATGGTGTGGACACTGTAAAACTTTGGCACCTAAATATGAAGAATTAGCAGAAAAATTAAAGGATGAGCCAAATATAGTTATTGCCAAGATGGATGCTACAGCAAATGATGTGCCTAGCCCATATGAAGTGAGAGGGTGAGTAAACAAGTTGTTTTTTTTTTCTAATTATTTATTGCTACTTTTTTCTTGGTCAGAATTACTTTTTTCTTGGTCAGAAATGAAAAAATGCATTGTTGGTTATCACTGCTTTATATTTGTAGGGAAATGCAAATTTAATAAAAGTGCTTATGATGACTACCCTAGCCGACATATATTCCTTTGAAAATTTTATGATAATTAATGATAGGGCTGAAGCACTGACATGATAGTTGTTTTTAGTGTTTGATTATGAAGTTATTCTTGTCTTTCAAAATAAAGAAAGATGGCTTCTTACTTAAATTAACTCATTTTATATTCCGTTACAGCTTCCCTACATTATATTTTGCTCCAAAGGGCTCCAAGAGCAATCCTAAAAAATATGAGGTAAGTTGATTCATCGTGCACATTTCAGATTTACAGATAATTTTAGTTCATGTATCATTGTATGATATAATTCCCTAAAAGTAAGCACTATATGCAATTAAAATATCAATATCAAATAGTTTTTGATAACTATTTCATATGTTCCATGAATATTTGTATAACAACTCAAATCTTTTTCACACACCTTTTTAGGTATGCACAATTTATGTATGGTCTTGTTTCACGTGATTGTTGATGCTTATTAGAAATTACCTTCTTTCTCTTGTTTTTTTCAGAGTGGACGTGAAGTAGATGATTTTATCAAATACCTTGCTAAAGAGAGCACAGACCCAATGAAAGGATACAGCAGAAAAGGAAAAAAAGTGAAGGAGGAGTTGTAAAAATCTTACAAATTTGCAATATTTTGACAGACTATATATTTTCTTGTATCAAAAATGATATTCCTAGTTAAAATCATGTTCTGAATGTCAGGAATTTCATATTTGATACTAACTTTCAACTGTTTATTTGTAGAATTTTTGGAAGAAGTTATTGTCTTCAAAGAACTGCTATTTTCTTCTAGAGATTGACTTACTTTGTGGGCTGTTGTAGTAAACATTACATGAAATGAGTTTTAAACAGTAACTGTAACTTGTCAAAGCATTCCTTTTTATACATGATGTGAAGATGATCGGGGGTTGTAAGATACAGTGACTTTTGTTATTGAACTCTTCAATTGTCAGTACCAGAAATAAAATATTTAAAAACTCCCGAAATTTAGTCCCGTTTTATTTATTACCTCTTCGTTGCTAGAATTTAGATTCTTGGTGATTAATTTTGATTTAATACTACATTTAGATCATTTATTTAACAGACTTCTGAAGTTGTCCTAGCAGACTTTTACGGTAAAGGCACGAGACAAATCCACAAGTACAACGGGCTTATTTTCAGCACGAACATTTCATTTTGCTTGTACACACAATGTTGATGTTGATCATTTCTCTGCCACTTGTGATTTCTTTAGATTAAAAAGAGATTGCAATCAAGATTTCTTAGCACCTTGTTTAACTGAAATGAAAATGAATAATGATCTAACAACAATTTGTACGTAAAGCTTCAGAGTTGGAATCTTGGCATCACCAGTTAGCATTTTTTGCCCCGGTATATAGAAATATTATCCCGTTTTATTTCAAGAGAATTGTGGAATACGATCAAGTAAAAAATGCCAGAAATCGTGAAGTCAACTGTCACTTATTCAGCGGCGGATATAGAGGGGGGGGGGGGGGTTAGGGGGGGGTCTTGTTGATTCTCACATTCTCCGATCTATCTAGTTAATTTTTACTAAAGCAGAAATTATGCAACTTGTCAGGAAGCGAGTACGATATCTAAAGTTCATTTAAATTAAAGATTCTAGAATGTTTATTTTAAATAGGGCAATAAATAGCTTGCGGCTATTTTTGCGGTGTCGTCCGGCTCTCAAAAACTGAAAAAAGGAAAAACGTTCGTGACGTCCTTTGCCGCATTAATCACCTCTTCCAAGGAGGTTGTTTTCACCCTTGCTTGTCTGTCTGTTTGTTTGTTTGTCATCAACATAACTCAAAAAGTTATGGACCGATTTTGATGAAATTTTCAGGGTAGGTCGGAAATGGGTTAACTTAGAAGTGATTAGTTTTTGGTGGTGATCCGGATCAATAATCAATCAATAATCAACAATAATCAAAAATCGCTGCCTTGGCGGAGGTCAGCGCTCTCGGAGTGCTTTTCTAGTTTTAATTATTTGATGGTTTTTGTAATATTTTAACCATAAAATCCTCAGTTCAGTTACACTCATGATTAGCTAGTGTTATGGTGACAGGGCACATTCAAATGTTTTACATGAAAATTGCATAGTCATAGAAAGTAATTTGCAAAACTTCTTTACCAGGCATTGTGAAAAGCATACTTGAGGTTGAGGACAAAATGTATCAGTAAAATAAACGTGCATCTTTTAATATCCCTTTAGCGCCGTCTAATTTTTGTTAGTAGGCCTATTAATAACGTGGAAATTATCCAAAAGGGTTGTCATTTTGAAAACTTTTCCTTATTAAATCCTTCGTTACTGAATACAAAAACTCTCCAAACTAGCAAGGCTTGAATTCCAAAAATTAATTACACAAAAAGCTATATTTATCTGTATCACTTTCTGTCACCAGAGTTTTAGAAAAAGTAGAATTCTGATTTTTTCAAATGGGCCTTTATCCATCCATTATGCCTCTATCTCCTCGGGGGAGCAAAGGACCCGGCGCAACAACACTTCTCTTCGTAATGATCAGGGGGCCGTAGCAATAGTCCGAAGGTTCAATAGTCCGAAGGTTCCTTGGTCCGAATGTTCACTACAGAACCTTCGGACCAATAAACCCTTGATTAAAAAACCTATGAAAATGTTACCGTTTTTCGGACCAATGAACCTTCGGACCAATGAACCTTCGGACTATCGAGACGCCCCCATGATTGAGCATGGTGATATGCGTTTAGGCCTACAGAAATAATTTTTCGTGTCTTGGCTATAGGGTGTTGCTGATGGTTAGCCTATATATTGTTGGCGATTAATTTAGTGGATATTTCATAATTCATTAAGAACTATCATTTTGAAGATCAATTCGAGCATTTTGCATTACATATCATGCAGTATATGTGTTGCTATGAATCTAAAACGTAGGTCTAAATCTGAAAATGCGATCAATCATAGAACCTGCTTTATTTTTTAGTCAAGTTCAGTGGTTTTCGAATCTAAATCAGTGGAAATATTTGGATGTTGAAAATTTGTTATATAAAGCATACAGAAATTTACTTGGGTCATATTCCTGTACATACATGTAGCATTTCATCAGAAAGACGAGGTAAAAATTTAATATGATAATAAGCCTATTGTGTTAGATGATACTCATCTCTGCTGAATGTGCTTTTGACTGCTGTTCCATCATCCAAGACATGCTTAATTTATATCGTGTCGCTTACTTTACAAATCATATCCTAAAACTTGCTGACAAAATATACAGTTTCATATTTTGATTTGATATTTATGATAATTAAGACATTGTAAAATCTATAAAGTTTGACGATCGCTTGTCATTCTGGGTCAAATTTATTTACTATAATGTGCTGCCCTCTTTTAAGATATATCATGACCTAATTATTCAAAATGGCAGTAGTATCCCAAGTTGACAGTACAGGTAAGTTTATACGCTTTTAATATCTTTTAACAGAATTGATTTTAATTCTAATGTAAGATGATTACTTTCATTATGTGTGTAATACATCAGGATATTTTGATCGATATTTAGGTCTAGCGATCGCTTAAAATGGCTCTTGGAAGTTAGTGGTTAAGGTATGCCCCGGGTAATGGAGTAAACAAAGACGTGACATAGGGCCCCTTGTTCTACTATCCTGGCTCTGTCCCCGAGGGCTACCTGAGATAAGTCCTTCACTCGACCTATTATCTAGGCCAGTAGAATGATCGGTAACTTTGTGCTTGTAAGATCAAAGAGGTGGCATTTTATATATTGTGCCAAGATAACATGTGACATGTGGAATATTATGATTTATTATTATTATTTAATAGTTTTAATGTGTTTTTGCTAACCTTTAACCAACTACCTTAAAAATTACTGGAATAAGCTTATCTTTAAGGTCTGCTTTTGTATAAAAGCATGTCAAGATGTTTCTGTAAATATGGTAATATTAAATAATATAGATATGTCATTCAGTTTACACTGCCTAGTAATTTGTGTTTGGTTCTTTCAACAATTAGTTGTTTCTATTTATGTCTCCACTAGTTCTTCTACAGCAGCACCATTGCTACCATCATCAGTCCGGTTTAGTTTGTAGACAAATATTTACTTAAGTTAATGAACTAAGGTATTTTTCCCTTAGAATTCACAAATGCACAAGATTTCTAATGCACAAAATGTAAAATGGAATTAGAATATTATATAACGCATGTGCATTGTAGTTATGTATTTTGTCCTACTTATACTTTTACAGTTGTTTATCTCCTCTCAATAATGAATATATGAGGAAAATTATATTAAGTTATAAAGAGCCTATTGTAAAAAGAATTAAAATGGCCATGATACTAGTATTTAAATTTTACTGACAGGGAAAACAAATTTAGATCTTTATCTACTTATCTTATTTTCACTGCAACCATTATATCAGAAAACCCATCAAATTGCCTTTGCAAATTATTTATCTATTATGCAGTCTTTTCAAAAACAGGAGGGATTTATGAAACATTATTTACTCTTTTTTAAAAGGTTTGCTTGGTAGAAGCAGGTGCAACTGTGTGAGCTCAATATTATTAAAGCACTTATTTGTACTTGATATAATTGATATCACAAACTGTATTGCTCAAATGTAAAAGCAAAGTTTTTAACAATATTATGAAAAAACAATTAATTGCATATGTTGTTTAAAGACATTCAGAAGCATGCATAGAGCCTTACGATACTGAAAAATTGTATCAAATTTTGTTCAGATAGGAGAAACTCAAAAGCTGATGAAAAAAGTATCTGATTACGGCATTTAAATGGTAGAAATCGGGGGAGAGGGAACAGAGTTGACATTTGACATGTATGATAATGTAATATGGAAAAAGGTCAAAATCCAGTAAAAGTGAGGAATTTTGCATCAGCAAATTGCCACCAACCTTTAAGAAACTTCTAAGTTTTGTAAAAATGAAAATCATTCAAGACAGCCTACAGTAATGATGTCATACATGTACAGTACAAGACAAGAAAACGTGAGGTTCAGCATGAGGTGGGGCTAGTATTTTAGCAAAGTAAGGTTAAATCTCTCTGCCCCAGGAATGCCTTCTTTAAAAGCAATACTAAACCAACTTCCAAAATATGACAAATCCCTGTTGTTGTGAAGAAGACTGTAATTGTACAGAATGGAAGAGAAAACAACCAGAAAATACACATGGATTAATTATTAAGCTTTATTCAAAGTCATACTGCTCTTGCTGGCATTACATCATTTATGACCCAGGCTCCCAACAAACTCCGTGGAATCTCACCTGATTTTTACAATAAGTCAAGACTTTGAGTTGTTGCAGGTGACTCCCATTTGCATTTTTTCAATAATTGCACAAATTCTTTCATGTATTGAATGCAACTATTTAACAATCAGTTGGTCAAAACGGTGCTTCCACGCAGGGTGACTCTCACTCTCACCATCATTATCATACAATTATTAAACAGTAATTCATTTCTTCTGTGTATTATAATACATTTATAATTTTAAAAAATATTACACTTAACAAAAATTAAGGTATTGTTATAAAATATTCACACAGCTATAAAAATGTTAACATCAGTTGGACTATCAAAAGTGGAAGTTAGTTGAAATCTACTTTACTTTTGAGATAAAAGATTACAACAATGATTAAAACTACACTACGTCAGCTAGTTAGATGTATCTCATCTATGGACTGCACATCTCTAAGATCAAGACTGGTCTCTGGTGACATTTACATGAATTGATTACTTGTGCAACATGTGTTCTGTATTCTGTATACACACAGGGAAGCAGTTTGCTTGTACATTAACATTTGGGCCTCTTGTCTTGTTCATTTTAAGTAGCATATGTTTGATAGTTTTGAGAAAGTGGTAAAGTTCTGTTAATACATTCAATTTTTTTAAACCTATTGTAAGCTGTTGCGCAACGTATGTTAAACACAACTTTTACTTGTGAAATAAAATTTGTAATGCTGTATATTTTGTGAAAAAAACTTTAAAATTACTGCTATGACTCCATCATCATCATCATCATTATTATTAGGAAACTACCATGAGCATTGTGGAAAATACAACCTTCTATTAGCAATGAATTTTACTGCCAGTGGAGGGATGAAGATTACAAAAGATAATGCTATGTATAATTTTACCAGCAGATGATAGGGCATTATACATCTACCTAATAACTTATGAAGAAGCTAAAAGCACAAGGGGTTTCCTAATTACACCCATAGCTATAACATCCTCATACTATCTGATTAACTTCTCTGTAATCCTAGAGAGATGATGTTTAATGATGACCCTTTGGCAAGGTCAATTGAGGAATTCTATGATGTGGACATCCCCTCTTTGGTATTCTATTTGAAAAATGATGTTCCCCTAGGGTGGTCCTGCCCCTCCACCCCCTGTGTGATGCAACCTATATTAATGATCAAATTAAACAAACTTGAAAGACCAGTACCACTATGGCTTCAACCCATTCAACCCATAACCAACAGGACTTCAAAGCTGCACAAGGCTGTGTGCTGTTGAAGGGGAGAAGAATCTGTCACTCGATATAGGGCAGTTCTTGGGTAAAGTCTGTGCCTGTGCATACTAAGTAGTGGCCATAAAGTAGAGATGTCAGAGGCATGTGTCATTTTCAGTGTTTGTACACATGGTGCAGCATAGACTGTGCTCCTGATGACTTGATCTCATGCGACAGTAAAATATGTCACTGTTGTATCTTTTGTTTTGGATTTTTTTTTTTTTTTTTGCTGGAGCTTGGAGATAGATGTGTTGCGGAAATATAACAGCCAAATTGATATCGCCTTGAAGTTTTATACATGATGTTTATTTGCAATTACCAGGAGTTATCCATTTTTATCAGACTGAATTTAAAAATGCATCCCACTGCAGGGTCTTATTCCTTGAAATATACTTTGTTACATGTTAAAATTTGAAGAGATGGGGGTCTCTTACAAAGGAATTTAAATATCAAACTTCATGTCATACAAAAACAACATATCTGATGGAATAAATGTGCAATTGGATAATTTTTGTATAATTTAACAACATTTATATTATTATCCCAGAATATATTGGTAGAAATATACAAGCCTTGGCAGAGATTTAGAAAATCTAAGTCAGATCAGTTTTCTCTGCAGAATAATACTTTTTTATTCAATTTCTTTCTTTTTTAACTTGGAATACTCCATTAAACTTTTTTCAATCAGATATTTTTGTATTGAGTAATCATTTTGGGACAGAAACCACCAGTTGCTAGGTATTTTGCTGTCATGTTAAGATTTCTGTGACATTCCTCATATGTCTAAACAATAAGGAAGCTTGGCTACACACAGTCATAACTGATAATGAGGTTGCACATCATATGCACCACTCAACATGAAGTTGTAGGTGACAGTCTCAGGGCGGTACTCCTGTGATGCATGTGCAGTGGTGAATATATATTTATATATACTCCAGAGCAGTCTTTGTGCTATCTTGTGATACATAATTACCAGGGTGATCATGAGCTTGTATTGTTACTGGCTTGAGTGATTTCATAGTTTATTCACTTCACGAGTGAAAGGTGTATGAATATATGCATCTCATGATGGTGATATGTGTTTTATTATTCATGAAGGTTTTTTTTTAAGCAGAGTTTATTTACAAGAAACGGAGACAATTTGCATGGAAGCATTATATGCTCTCATTCATAATCTACATTCATAAGGTTAAACAGGAGGACAATATCTGTTTAATAAACTAGAGGTTCATTGTAAATAAATACTGGTTTATGGTACAAATGGTGATTTTAATTTCTTTCTGACATTTGGAATACAAAAGCAAGTAAAGAATTGCTGTGCAATCACCTGCCAATGTAAGGAACTTGACTAACTTATTAAGGTGCATTTTCGCAATTATATGTTTTATGGCAGATGAATCCATATCGGTACCAAAGCTTCATTTTAGTTTGTATCTGTCCCACCAGATGTCAGATCAGTCATTTCTATCCAGGTGAGTTTATGGAGTGCTGAAGGGGACAGTGGAGAGGTTGGGAAAACTCCAGCACCTTTTAACAGACATTTAGTTTGCAGTGTTGCCAAGTACAACTCACACAATCACCAATGAACACAAAAACAGGAGCCTAGCTCTCTTGTTACCATAGACAATTTTGGCCTGGGGGAGCCATTTTTTATGGTTTTTATAACCTTGTCTGAATATTGACAATTTCATATTTCAGTCTGTGGACCCATTCCATGGGAAGCATTGTAATGCTCATTGCTTAAATATCAGTCCAGGTAAACAGGCCCTGTTTGTCACAAACTGATATATTGAAGTGATTACATTCATTTCCCTGGGCTCCAGGTATTGTATTGCTGGTGTTCACCAAATCCAATTGCTTTTTGTCAAATATATTAATCTTGTTCAATTTTATTTGTAGACACTTTTGGCTGAGATTGAGACAAGATTTGGCGCTGGGATTGAAGAGAGGTTAAGCAGGTAAGATTAGGTAACAGACGAGGGGCCAGCTTTCGTAAAAGGCTTGGTTTTTTTTATGCCAAATGGTGTCTGTTAATTTTAAAGTTGTATAGTCCTGGTCACCTGATAGAGAAGGAAATGAATTTCAACTCAATCTGCCCTGTCAATGAACAGATAAAAGGTGAGTATTTGAATTTAAAAAAAACAAGAATGACAAAAATGAATTCAACAACTCTCAACAAATTTTATTAACTGATACAAAAAATGTTACTTTTATTGGTAAAACAGATCCTTATGGTGGACAGATGGACATTTTGTTTAGTGGAGAGACTCGGTCAAATTCAGTGTTTAAAATGAGGTCTTAGCTTTCATATGGTTTTAGAAATGAGATGAACAAGGAAAACTATTAACATTATGTCTAATATTCATCACCTTTATCTTTTAATGGGTTGAAGTTGAGTGTGAATATTCAAGGTTGCAGACTGAGATTCAGACTCCAGTGAAGTATTGGTTGATAGCCTATGAGAGCCACAGCTTCACTTGATTAACCTTACTGAGATAAACACCAAACTGATATCTTCTATTGCCAATGTGATGCACATTGATGACTATGCCAGAAATTGCTCCATTTTTGACCTGAAGAATTGGTTGTACCTTAATTTATCTATGAAACAAACAAAAAAGCCATAATTCCTGGTGTGTTTTAACCTATAGTGTTACTCTCACTACATTTCTTCCCTTTATTTTTTAACAAGATGCCCCAGGTGTATCTAACAAGCTCTGTCATGTCTTATCCATCCACTTTTACATTGTATTATTAGTGATGAAGGTGTAGGGGAGAGAAAACTGGAGATTTTTCCCCTATTATACCCTAGCCTAGGCACTAGGGTGACACACAATTGGTGACGCTTGCTACGAAGAAGAAAAAAGGTGATGTCTAAACATGGAATGTCCACCATTGTGTGCATGTAACCCGCAGTGGCTAAGGATCATTATCCCATCTCCTGTATCATATAGAAAGAATTAATTCTTTCACTCTACACCGACACCTCCTTTACACAGAGCTGGTTATTGTGACAGAGACAGATGGATCCGTTTCAATATCTCGGTTTCAAACTCACTGCCCTGGCATGTCGCATACATCTCTCTAACAATGGGATGCAGATTAGGTTTCAGAAAATGGGTTTGTCTTAAACGGTTTTGAAAAATCCAATTGGGGCTCAGCGTATATATATTTTGTAAATTGCTTCAAATCCATATATGGGTTGTTGTGGCCCTTTTTGTAGCAGTTAAGTAGTAATCCACCAATAAGCTTGTGGTTGAACCGCAAAATTGTAACATAATGATTGAAATTTAATGTATGCTTATGTGGTAAAAAAATTAAATGTTGAAGTTAGTAGACTTACTGGCAGCTATATGTGTATGCATATTTCCATCAGGTAATATTCTTACTCATCTCCAGAGACAAATTATTTTGGTTTATATGAATCGATGTCATGTGAAAGCATTTTAGTTGAACCTTGTTGGGTATATATTTTCTTTTTGACAAATGCAAAAAAAGACAATGCATGGCATTAATTTTCCCAAGGCTCTAAAGCATTTTGATATGGCGAAACAACATGTCGTTTGATTTTAATATCTTAGTCAATAGTTCAAACAAAAATGATAACTAAATTAATATAAGGCTACCCTCTGGAACTAAAGAAGCTACGTGCAATAGGTAACTATACATTTTCTCCCTTTAGCCTCATCACTGACCTATTCATGCATCTCTCCATCTATCATCTACGTGACAACTGACATGGCTGAAAACAGATCACTCCTGTAAGGGTTAGGAAAGGTGTTGTGTATCTTCTGGCATTTGCTTTAAAAACAACCCCAGATCATCTAGATTTTTTCATTTGCATATATTTATATCAGTTGGGTATCATATTGAAATGTAATTGGCACAAGTAGTGCCAAGGGCTTGTCTTGAAAGTATTAGGAGGTATCACCATCTAGTGGGATTTGAAATGCAACTTGCAATTTGTTCATTAAAAAAGCTAAGGATATGATGCTTCAAAAGAATCCAGATCGATGCAAGAAGACTGACCACCCACGATTTTAACTTTTTTGTATGCAGTGCAGTGGCATGTCTGTGTTGGGGGGAGGGGGGGAGGGGGGGGACATGGAGGAATGGATTCTGTCTTACATTCATCATTTCCTACCTGATGAACAATACTGTTGCAATGAATCTTTTAAGATTTATCTTAAAAGGTGCTAAGTTTAAGTACTTTGTAATTGTTTGTATGACCTGCTGCCAAACATTTTAGACAGGCACTTATCAACACCAGAACCCATTGGCAAAGATGTACACTGGGGTTCTCATTCATTGTGATACTGCATGTAAAACCTGTATGGATATGCATCAGATGTTTTGACAATCAAAATTGCACCTTTGTGATGGTTAGACTTAGAGTTAATTTTCAACTTGTGTGGGCTCTTTTTGCGTATCTACCTCATTGATAGCCTTCACCCCACCTTTCTTTTCTTCCCTCGTCTAAAGAGATAATAATGCCCGGCTAAATTGTATATCACATTAATGCTTTCTTTCTTGGATCATATTTCAGGATATCGATATCTATATACTGTTATTACAGATCAGCTGAAAAAATCTGAAACAACTTGTGAGAGCGGGCTTCGTCTGAAAATGAGACATTTTAAAAAAAAGTATCATGATTGGTTGGTAGATAAATAACCAGAAAAATATGGCCCTGAACTTTGGATTGTATGCATAATGATTCAGGATCTAGGATGATGGTCTTGTCACTAGAAAAAAGCAGCTCACAGCAGTGACATGGACCGCTCAGATGTTGTTTAAGCAATATACCTGTCAAAATATTGACAAGGAGTAAAATAATGTGTTGCAATAGAAGGAGGCTATTTACAAAAGAAAGTGTTTAAAGTGAAACTTAACACTGTGCCCATAAATTGCAGCTCTTCTTTGTATCAAATTTTTGTACAAGATAGAACATGGCACCAGCATCATTTTGTGGATGAAGTAGGGGATAGGAAAAGAGTAGGGGTGGGAGAGAAAATTAAAACAAAAACAATATCCAGATAGGCAGAGTCTCTTGTCGCTCAGGCAGTGGTATTAGGTAAACAATCTTAAAAAATGTGTCAAATAAACATTCTAGATTAGCTTAATCCTGAGTGATAAATTTGTCACTGATTTGAATTGCCATTCTGATGACTTGGATTAGCTCAATTCATACCCAGACTGTAATAAGGACAGTTTATACCCACTGACATGGACTGAGTTTGAATAAAATTGCATACAAATAAGGCAGTGTTTTATCACTCCCTACACCGCAGTCACTTTACTGTGTGTAAGCAGGGTAACATTTGCCGATATTGTATTTTGTACAAAGTAAATCTTAGATGTTGAAGAAATTGTTGGGAAGGAGCCATGGTGATAATAGCATGAACACTGTCAGTTTTTGGCCAGGCTTGATTAGGTAAGTACACTCATAGTGTACTGTAAATGTGTACATTACAATAATAAATATCTCATTGATAAGAAATAATGTTCAATTGGCAGAAATGCCAGACTATGTAATCTGCTGTGATTAAGATAAGGCAAAAATGACCTAAATAATATGTAAAGTGATGAAACATATATGTTCAGAGTAGATATAGAGACAAATTAAAAAAAGGTACTCAAGTGAAGATGGCATTAAGGTTAATTGCACTTGCTTTTTTATAAATTTGTTTATTTGAATTGATATGCATTGACAGATGACTGATTTCTACCAGTGTTTTTGAAAAAAACTTATTGAAAGGTCCATCATTAATATTTTCCATCAAAATGGTAATAACTGTATTGGAAGAAAATGAATTTGAATAATGCCAGCCCACCTTTTCGAAGACCAAATTGCTGAAAGATAAATTGTTTCAGACCAAGGCATTTTAATGCAACCTTAAAACCAATACACGGGGTGTCAGGAAACTGTTCAGAAGTAATGAATCAGGTTTGACTTAATTGTAATACTTTTTGAAATAGCCTGTCACATGCAAAATGGCTTTCCTTTTCTAGCAGCCTCAAGGAATAGACATTTACCTAATGATCTGAGACCTGTCCTATCAGCCATTATGGCCAGATGGGCATTGGGTCCATATCAGACTCTTGGGAAAACTGTGGTAAAATGATGGCCTGGTCTGGTGACATTATCAGTGGTGGGACACACTTCTCTGATGATCTGCCGATTGGGAGTATGATTCATTATCTGGGCAAGAAATTATAGGGGATTTGTTGTAGAAGTGTCTTTACTGTGTGTGTGTGTGTGTGTGTGTGTGTGTGTGTGTGCACAATTGCAAACTCATTTGAGATCTAGTTCTGAAACCAGTTTTGTGATTCTAGTTTTTTTTTCTGTTTTATTGCTTTATATTTGCCAGCTGTTTAGTTTAGTTTAGTGAAGTTCTTGGCCTTGTTGTTTACTTTGTAATTTCTTAATTAAATACATATCAAAACAGTAGATTCTTAAATATTTATTCATTTATTTTTCTCAGCTTATCAATAAATCAGGCCATTACTGTTTTATGCTCCCGTTGGATATAATCTCCATTACCTTGACCCTCCACCAGTAAGGACACTAAAATAACCAATGATATGCTGACAAGATAGAACGTAGGCACAATTCATCCCATGCTTTGAAGACTTAGATCTGTTTGTGTCAAGAGCAGCTGTGCTGTCTTGCATGTGCAGCCGTACTTATTGCTCCCTTTGTAGAAATCATCAAATAGAATTAATAAGCCAAAGTCTCCTTTAAATAAGTTAAAAATTTAAGACATTTCAGAACAAATACCAGCATTCCATGTCTTTACATTAAACCAGAGTTTCATAGATGAACTACCAGCATATTGATATACTGTGACATGCAGTGATCTGCTTTTTTTCAAAACTTGTTTTCTAGCAATTAATTGAGGATGGTTTGATCAGTAAAGTTGATGGAAAAGTTATTGCATGTCTTCATCCTGATGCT